AATTGTGCAGACCGATGACTCAGGGCTAGCTTCATATGTCGCTGGTCAAGTTGATCAATCACTTAGCTGGAAGGTTGGATTGAATCCGTAACAAGATGTTTTCAGTTGATAAATTATTTTGATTCAGAAACATTATAATAGTTTGTTTGCCTTTTTAACAGGATATAAAGTGGCTCCAATCTATCACAAGCTTGCCAATTCTTGTCAAGGGTGTTATTACAGCTGAGGATGGTACTAAATACGCTGCATCATAAAATCTTACTTATTAAAAATTTCAAAATCTCAAGAACATTCCTCTGATCTTTCGCAGCAAGAATCGCTGTTGAATACGGAGCTGCAGGGATTATAGTTTCCAACCATGGAGCTCGTCAGCTAGATTATGTCCCTGCAACTATAGTGGCTCTCGAAGAGGTTAAAATGCATTTACATTAAGAAGAAACTGTTGTAAACACAGCCTTTTTACATTCTTGTTTCAATGGAAATATGAATTTGACAGGTGGTTAAAGCCGTTGAGGGTCGGATTCCGGTGTTTCTAGACGGTGGGGTTCGCCGTGGAACCGATGTGTTTAAGGCATTGGCTCTTGGCGCTTCAGGTGTCTTTGTAAGTTCACTCTCTATTAGCTTCTTGTAATGTCCCCTGTTTTCTCTCTTTACTTTTCCAATTCTACAAGACTTTTACCACTTTTCACATTTTGACCCAAAACCTTTTAATTTGTCAATATACACCCAAGCAAATGACATGTAAGTACTATGTAAGTGGTAACTGATTAACATGTTTGATTAGGTTGGGAGGCCGAGTTTGTTCTCGCTTGCAGCGGATGGTGAAGCGGGAGTGAGGAAGATGCTGCAAATGCTAAGAGACGAGTTTGAGCTTACAATGGCACTAAGTGGCTGCCGTTCGTTGAGAGAGATCAGTCGAAACCACATCAAGGCCGATTGGGACTTCCCTCATTACCTCCCGGCGAAGATATAAGGAAACTTTATTCACTTCTTTTGTCAACGAGAATGAAAAGAGACAGATGGATGTTTGAATTTATGATCCAATAATGTATTTCTTCCATCCAACTTTATAATCGAAATTTATCATTTGAGTGAAAAAAATGCCCAATTCAGTGATAGTATTTAATTGTTATCATCAAAATATTTATTTACTTTTCACCGTTTTTATATTTTTTTTTTTACAAAACAAAGCCATCAATCACTATTCGAAATCTCATGAGTTTAAATTCCCAATTGAATCATTAGTAGCGTAGCATAGCACAGCAAGAGTGACGTGTGTGAGAAGCAAGCGTGTTAGAGACTATAAAACAACGTGAACTAAATTGTTGTCATGAAATAGACGAATGATATAATCTAAATCATCAAAAGCATATAGCATTATTCCAGAAAACGACATATACACACCATGACACCATAGGTTAAGGAATTAATCCATTAATACCTTAAATATGGAGTCTATAATTCAAACATTCGTACTGTCATAGGCTGTGATTTATGTAGGAAGAAGTTTCTGATGCATTTTTCAATTCAAGATACCAAACACGTTTATTACAAAACCATAAAACAGAAAATTACATTTGTACAACACACTCATACTAACATACATGAACCATTGAGATAAACGAGGTTGACCAACTTTGGTATATATATGGGGATTGGGCCAGTGAAATTGTTGTCACTACGATAGAAATTTCAAGATTGGAACATTTTGATATGCTGATGGGGATAGGACCATCGAGTTTGTTTTCAAAATGTATAATTAGATTTTTTTTTTTTTTAAATATGACAAATAACAACATTTTGACGAACCGGTTTTATCACAAAAATTTGAAGGCGAAGTGCAAGGGGGTGTAAAATCAATTTGGCCCTAAACTGAAGATATTCAATTTGCTTGACGTTGAAATCAAACCGTAGTAAACTACATTAAGCCTTGTTATTCTATCGTATAAACTAAATTGTCGAGTGTGTGCGTTGTGGTTTGGTTGTAGGAGGGAATCATAATGTTTTAAAATTTAAAAATGACGTTTTTATCTTAGGATTCTGTACAAAATGGAATGCAAAAATCATATGAAATAGACCGAACTTCACTGGTTTCTTGAACAATGCGATCATTGGCTTCTTGTGACGATGGTTCTCGCTGTCCGTAACATGCATATGTTGGCGCTGTAACTATACTATATATGTTGGTACTCTTAACATTTATATATTTTAAGAATCTTATATATGTTGACTTAAAGGGTTATGTAAGTAGGCGCTTTATATTAAACATTTATGTTGGCACTTGGCACTAACAATCGTACATGTAGTATACAGTACTAGAAACGAGTAGCCATAACAGCTTTGTAATAATCATAACTACCTCCAATACGAGCGGTGGCAGTTAAGGAAGCATGGCGGTGGATGCCGCTAACTTGTTAACAAACTAATTAACAAACTTCGTTAACAAATCAAGTTAACAACCTCGTTAACAAAACACAAAGATTAGCTCTTTAAAAGATTTCATTATCGATCTAGTCAAGACTATTACTAAGTCTGAGGATGCAACATCTAGATATATTGCAGTAAATTATCAATCCCCAATATAATCTTATACTCCTTCCGTTTCAAATTAGTTATCATTTTGGCAAAATGTATCTGTAATTATTTGGATATATCTGCAATGCAAAACACGTCCAAATACGTCCAAATATTTGCAGATATATTTTGCCAAAATGACAATTAATTTGAAATGGAGGGAGTATATAATTAGTGAGTTGCTCTCTCCTCTTAAGGTGTCCACATCAGCAAAAAAAATACAAATCAACTAAATCAAAAGTAAAGATTCAATTAATACATACGCTTTCAAAATATCATTGAATGATTTATTATTCAACCAAAAATATAAAAATGTATTAAAAAATGATTAATAAAAATATAAAAGACAAAAGTAAATAAAAATTGGTTGAATTAATATTTAAAAGATTAAAAGTTAATTTTTAACAGTATATGCAAGAGATTATTATTTAAAAGAAAAAAATGAAATGACTAATAAAAATATAAAAGACAAAAATAAATAAAAATTGGTTGAACTTAATATTTAAAAGATTAAAAGTTAATTTTTAACCGTAGATTCAAGAGATTTTTTTTAAAAGAAAAAATGTATTGAAAATTTAAAATGTCTAAAATTCATAAGAATATATATAATGTAAAAAGATAGTGTATGTGAGAAAATTTCATGGAAAATGTTTAACTTTTGAAAGCTAACAATTAAAGATAATTAATAAAAATAAGTTATATATAAAACTAAATTATTGATTTTGATGTTAAAAAAAACTAAAGTATTGACTATTTCTAACATTTAAAAAAAATCACTCAAATTTTTTTCGTTTGTATAAATATTTAATAAATAAACATCAATATCATATATACAGAACAACACAGTTTGTAAAGTATATAAATGATGATAAACAACCAAAAATATATGAAAACAACCCCGTGCTTGCTCGGGGGTACAATACTAGTTCTTATGACGTGTGTTAGTAAATTATTAGTACTAGAATATTTGATTCTAATATGTATTTAATTTTTTTTGCTTAACTATTTCAGTAAGAAGTTTACTTATTCATTAAGAAAATAATTAGTTAAATTCCACCATTTTCAGCCAGCTTCCTCTATTACCATTTAAATCTTAAATTGTTTCCAAAAATCATTAATGAATTTGGATAGACTCAAATATATTGATATTATATATTTAACTTAGATTTATATAAGATATTTTAGAGTCAAATATATTGATATTATTTTGTCAAAGAAAAATGGAAACAAATCTTGTGGTATTTGTTGACTAATAGAAAACAAAATCTTGCTCTATTTATGTTTGAAGATTCTGTATATAGATTTGGATTATATACTTAATATAGAGTCAAATAGATTGGTCCTAATTGATTGATTTAAGAAAAAAATCATGTATAAGAATGACTTAGCCGACAAAAAAAAGTCTTCTTACTTTCAAATTTTTTTTTTCTTGTGTAAGAGTTATTATCTAAAAAACAAATATCTTGTTGAAAGAATCTATATAGATTTTAAGAATAACTATACTAATGATTCTAAAACAGAATATTCTATCCACTTTCAAAGATCTATCGAGGTTTCAAGTGCATCAAATTATCTTTGACACGTGAGACCACGACAAACCGCTCGACTTGCATATGCTTAAAAAACTCGTGTAAGTTTGTATCTAATCTTTATTCCTCTTTATTCAAAAAAAAACGATTAAGATTTAAAATTACTAACCTAATCGTATTATTGGTTTCTTCTAAATATTACCATCTTAATTTTGATGATTTCTGTGATCTTTCTTCTATCATACTCTCTTAATTTTTGATGATTTCTTTAGACCTTTGTAGAATAAAGAGAGCTTCTGACTGAATTTTTAATATTATTTGGATTGTATTTATAACGGGGCGTATTTGTGAAAGCAAAGTAAAATCCAGAAACAATTTATTATTAATGTCTTAAAAAAAAATATAAATGAGAGAGAAATTAGTTTTGGGGATGCTGCCATGCTAGTGATTTTGTTTTTCCTTAAAAAGATTGATTGAAAATTTGTTGATTTGATATAATATCTAAATCGTGTGCTCCTGTTAATGAACTTGTTACTTTTATTTAGGGGTTTTCTGCACACTGCAAAGCTGGGAAGATGAATCTTATGGAACTGTGAAACAGTGCACATACATCCCAATATCTCAGGTTAATAAATTCTCACTCTTCATAAACCAATAATATCTGATTAATTATCTGATAGCATAAACAGTAAAATAATAATATAAATTATGAATACGTGAAACAGTGTTCTACAATCGTTATTTCACCTTCTGTCGGCTGTCCTGGCCGGCGGTAGTATTATTTTCTATCTGGATTCTGGCCACCACCTTTTATTTCAAATCCTTAACTGCTTAATCTTCTGCTGCATCGTTAAGGGTGTTTTCACCAGTGAGCTGCCAGAGGACTTGTTCCTCCGCCTACTCTGAGATGTTTCCATCGTTCCTCCATCCATCCGCCTCAGATCTGTCTTCATTCGCTTGGTTCTCCAACCAGCCACTGTCCGATGGTCCTGTTCCCTCACACCGAAGCTGTCGCCAACTCTTCCTCCACATTAGTTATCTATCTTCTCAGCTGTGTGTTTAGGTTGTGCTGGTGTTGTTCAGTCATCTATCTTCTCAGCTGTGTGTTTAGGTTGTGCTGGTGTTGTTCAGTCATCTTCCCAAGTTCTGCCAGTTATTAAGTTGCCAATAGAAACTTTGATCAGCTCATATTCAAATCTCTAGACCATGACCATGAGGATCCGTTCTTTTCAAATTTATCCACTAAGAAGATAATAGATATTCTAAAACCATTTGTCAAAAAAAAAAAGATAGATATTCTATCAACTTCCACTCTCCTCCACGTGAATTATTTATCAAAATTTTCCACATGGATCTACTTCGTTTTCAAAGTCGATAAAATGTTCCATCTCCCAAACAGAATTGTTATTTTAGTTTCGATGACACTAATTAGAGGTATGAGCTGTCTTTCAACACCACAAGTTTCTAGCTTTACGGTGAATGTTATGTCGAAGCATCTTGTTGGAGATGGAATGTACCACCCTCGTCTTAAGCCATGTCTATACAAGATTAGCTCATATGACAAATTGACAAAACCCTAGAGGTTCGTCTGAAAAGGAACAAGATCGGCTAGAAGAAAGGAAACCTCCATGCAAAAAAGGGAAATCTCTCTTAAAAAAGAAAGATAAGACCAAAAAGGAAAATGAGACCATAAAATGCCACAACTTAGGTTTTGACGATTCCACATTTTCACTTTAAAAATATTATTATGCTATTTTTTACCATTCAAATCATTCATCAATTTTACACGTTGTCACATTTTTGAAAAATGATTCCTCTATATAAAACTAGCATAGTTGTTAAAAATATAACTAGAACAAATAAAACGTGATTAATATACTAAACCTAGCTTTTCTGCGTTTTATAACTTTAATAAAAAAAAATTATATTCAGTCCAGTTTATTATGCAAACACTTATTCACTTATTCAGTTATTTTGCTCTTCTTCTGACATAGCAATCAGACCCTAAGAAGTATGGACCATCTTTCAACATCAGTAGTCAAGTTACTGCTTTCCAGCTCTACGTCAGGTGCTTTGAATCTCTTTTATACAAGGATCTCTCTTAAGTTCGCTTTCATTTTCGTTTAATAGAAAAACAAACCTCTCATTCATAATTGTCTACTACCATTTGATACTCTAAGCTTTAACCCCACCATCTTCAACAACCAAAAACAAAGAGAAAACTCATGGTGTTTTTTTTTTGTTTTTTTTTTTCCAATAACATGTAACAATAAAGTTTAATAAAATCCAAAAGAACATTACTATTTCAAATAATATAAGGGGGTAAAAAATCTCAAGTTTTGACATTTTCTGACACAAGTTTTAACTTCTTAACATGTACTAAGAAATTATTCAAAAGCTTAAGAGATGAATTTATATAGAGTTGCTTAATTTTAAAAGTTCATAGAATTGTTAAATTTATAAAGAGTTATTGTTACATTTAAAACACAAAGAGTAAAATTTTACAAACTATTAGATTCCTTCTCACCTTTTAAAATTAATTTTTTTTTACAAATTTTAAAAGTTGCTTACAAACCACCATAAGAGTTTCTCTTCATTAATAGTCTTTTCAAGTTTATAATTTTATATTGGTTATTTTTTGGATATTCTAAATCTCAAGCAAATTCGAAACTAAAACCCCCCAAACAAAAATAGAGAAAAAATGGAAGTTTGAAGAGTAAGCAAAACCTTGAGAAAGGAGACGATTAACGGTTTCGTAAGGATCCATATTGCACTCCACAAGCATTGAGTAGATCTCTAAGTCAGAACAGTTCACGATCTCCTTCAAGCTCTGAACAACCTTTTCTCGAAGACGCCGGAACATCAACATTGGTGTTACTAACGCCGTTTCTATCGACCATTTTTCTCTTTCTCTCTTTCCAGATTAAGGGGGAAAAAACGAATCAGATCTAAGAAAAACTTATACTGCTCGCGATTCCTTTTTATGCTCGAGATTCTAATGAAACAAAAAGGATTCCTTCTCACCACACGTTTGTTACTGCACATGGATTTTATTCGCAAATCTAAAATTCAAGTCTCAATTATTGTTTTTATGACATTTTATCTAATCTCAGACAACAAATGTTATTTTTTATCCCAAAGTTAAACTACAACAAGTGTATGATATATGTAAAATTAAGTTATATCATTAACCATAACATTTACTTGAATTTTAAATGAAATATACTAAAAATATTAAAAGTTATTAAATATCTTAAAAAGTAATAAATCTACCAAAATAAATTTGTTAATTTATTTCCAAATTATCATGTCCTTTTACATAGTTTCCAAAATTTGAATATATATATTTTTTTCCAATGTCATCTAGCTACAAACCGAAAGAATATAATTGTAAAATAAAAAGAAGATTTTATATTCTCCGATACTAATAAAACAGGCATATACATAGTTTGAGCTCGAGATTCTAATAAAACAAAAAGGATTATTGATGTCTCTTTCTCGCTCTTGGCTTCCGTTGAGTATCAGAGGAAATAAAAATCTTCTTTTTTTTTTTCTACTTATGTTCTTTCGGTCTGTGGTTAGATGACGTTGGAAAAAAGAAAAATATTCAAATTTTGGAAACTATGTAAAAGGAAATGATAATTTGGAAATAAATTAACAAATTTATTTGGTAGGCTTATTGCTTTTTAAGATATTTAATAACTTTAAATATTTTTAGTATATTTCATTTAAAATTTAAGTAAATGTTATGGTTAATGATATAACTTAATTTTACATATATCATACACTTGTTGTAGTTTAACTTTGGGATAAAACAATAACACCTGTGGTCTGAGATTAGATTAAAAGTCTTAAAAACAATAATTGAGACTTGAATCTTAGATTTGAGAATGAAATCCATGTGCAGAATCAAACGCATGGTGAGAAGGAATCCTTTTTGTTTCATTAGAATCTCGAGCTCAAACAGGAATCGCGAGCCATATAAGTTTCCTTAGATCTGATTCGTCTTTTTCCCCCTTAATCCGGAAAGAGATAGAGAGAGAAAAATGGGTGATAGACACGGCGTTAGTAACACCAATGTGGATGTTCTGTCGTTTTTGAGAAAAGGTTGTTCAGAGCTTGAAGGAGATCGTGAACTGTTCTGACTTAGAGATCTACGCGATGCTTGTGGAGTGCAATATCGATCCTTACGAAACCATTAATCATCTCCTTTCTCAAGGTTTTGCTTATTTCTTCAAACTTTCATTTTTTATTTCTCTATTTCTTTCTGGGGGTTTAAGTTTCAAATTTGCTTGAAATTTAGCATATCCGAAAATAACCAATATAAAATTAAAAACTTGAAAAGACTATTGAAGAGAATCTGTTATGGGGTTTGTAAAACAACTTTTAAAATTTATAAAACAACTTTTCAAATTTGTAAAATTTTAAAAGGTGAGAAGCAATCCAATAGTTTGTAAAATTTTACTCTTTGTGTTTTAAATCTAACAATAACTCTTTATAAACTTAACAATTCTATCAACTTTTAAAATTATTAAACTCTATATAAATTCATGTCTTAAGCTTTTGAAGAATTTCCTATTACATGTTAAGAAGTTAAAACTTGAGCTTTTTTCCCCCTTATATTATTTGAAATAGTAACCTTCTTTTGGATTTTGTTGAATCTTTATTGTTACACGTTATCGAAAAAAAAAAAAAAACCATGATTTTTCTCTCTTCCTTTTTGGCTGTTGAAGCAAAGCGTTTTTATACATCTACTAATTCAATTTCAGTTTCTTATAATGTGCTTCCTTTTAAAAGATTTCAGATACTTTTCAAGGGGTGAAATGCAAACGTACAAGAAGAAAGCGGCTCGCAGAAATATATCTAACTCTAATGGTAATAAGCTAAGTTTCTGCTTTTTTTTGTTGGTTTTGATATGGTAATCTAAAAAAATCTATTAACTTGTTTTTATGTATATTGCTTTTAGGCATAACGAGTTAAGTGGAAGAAGGAAATTCTCACCCGTGAATTGATTGTATCATGCAATGTCTAAATGGGATAGTTTCATTAAGTTGCCAAATGAAACAAGAATATTTCCACTTAACTCGTTATGCCTAAAATTTAGGTCTCTCAGTTGGGTTAGGTTTCCGATTGAAGCCGGAAATTCACCTACTAAATCATTATACGAAAGGTCAAGATGTGTGAGATGAGAAAGGTTTGCTAACGAAGAAGGAATCGCTCCAGAGAAAGATCGCAAAATGAAAGAGTTAGGTTACGAAGATGATGGAGTTTGAAAAGACCTAATGTAACATTTCGGTTTCTAATAAATGAGCAGAGGCTTAAGAGAATTGATTTGGCTACCTATGTCAACAAAGTGCACTTACCTTTTCGGTCAAAGGTCTATAAGTAACTTCGGAGTTAAGCGTGCTTAGGCTGGAGTAGTTGAAGGATGGGTGACCTTCAGAGAAGTGGTTTCCGAAACCGTGTGAGTGAGGCCAAACATGGGGAAAGGTCGGGTGTTGATTGCAGGGATAGTAAACAAGTCGGTAGAGCCTCTCAAAATAACGACCGGCTGTCGGACATGGGTGAGGCCCACCGGCCGAGATAGGCCTGCGATTCCAGAGAGAGGGCGTGGGTGACTCACCGGGAGGGATGGTCCGGGTGTTATAATTTGGTATCAGAGCCAAACCCATACGAGAGTGTGGAGTCGAGTTGAAGTGGCCTTGACTCACACCGGCAGGGGGTGACGATCCAGGTGCGCAACAAGGACGTTGCGTGCAGTTAGTGGGGGTGGGTTGTAACATTCCGGTTTGTGATAAATGAGCAGAGGCTTAAGAGAATTGATTTGGCTACCTATGTCAACAAAGTGCACTTACCTTTTCGGTCAAAGGTCTATAAGTAACTCCAGGTTAAGCGTGCTTGGGCTGGAGTAGTTGAAGGATGGGTGACCTTCCGGGAAGTGGTTTCGAAACCGTGTGAGTGAGGCCAAAACACGGGAAAGGTCGGGTGTTGATTGCAGGGATAGTAAACAAGTCGGTAGAGCCTCTCAAAATAACGACCTTCCGGGAAGTGGTTTCCGAAACCGTGTGAGTGAGGCCAAAATACGGGGAAAGGTCGGGTGTTGATTGCAGGGATAGTAAACAAGTCCGTAGAGCCTCTCAAAATAACGACCGGCCTGCGGGTCCAGAGAGAGGGCGTAGGTGACTCACCAAGAGGGGCGGTCGGGGTGTTATACCTAAGGTAAAGTGAAATCACCTCGCCAGATTTATCGTCACATGTGACGCCCTCCCAAGAACACAGCAATCTTTACTCTTGTTTCATGAACTTAAAGATGTACTAAGGTCAAATGAATCAGATTCATTTACCGGGAAACTCGTGTTTGATACTCCAGAAGAGCACATCCCTCTGGTCATGATTGCAATAGTGGAGCATAGGAGGAGAAGCAAGAGTTCTAGAACGAAGGAAAGCAAGAAGAAGAAATGCAAAGGTAACAACAATACCATAAAAGCAATAAGAATTGTGTGGAATCGTCATTTATCTTTATCTGTTTTTTTTTTCTTCTTCTCTCTTTTGTGTGTGTGGAAGTGATAGTGTTTTTTTTAAGAGTTAATTTTAATATACATAATGGCTTATGTAGCTCTTTTTAAAGAGATAGTAATATGTTTTTACGATAATGGCCCTAACTGGTAAGATACAATTGTGAGGAATTTTGTGAAATGTGTACTTTAATACATTAGTTGAATAACTTGTAAAATGTTAAGGAATCGAGGAATTGTCAAAGACTTTATTCTTCATTAAATTTATTACTTTATTTTAATGTATTCTCTTGAGTAATTTTAAAGAATATAGATGTTTGTTTTTGTTTTTTTGAAAAAATTAGTCTAACAGCAGCAGTTTCGATAATTGAGAAATTGTGGAATATCACCAACAAAATTAAAATTCATATGGAAGGGCAAATTATCCAACACTTGATCAGATCAGTTTCAAATATTAGGTTTTTTGGAATGTCTAATAACGAATCTTAATAACAAAATTATGAATCCGAAAAATAAATTTACCGATATGAATAAAATGTTTAGAAGAGCATATACGGATATAGTGTGAATATTAATTAAAACTTATTTTAGTCTAAATATAGATTATAAATTATAAACATATACTTAATTTAATATAGATTATAAATTATTATAGCAATAAAAAGTATGCAAGAACAAGAGGAAACAAAATATAGAGCTATATGCATACAATATGGGAACAAATTAAGAAGCAAACTAAGATGATTTTCATTAATAAATGTCTATTTTTTTTTTTTAACTTTGATGTTTCATTCAGTAAATATTATTATTAATTGAACTTGGTAAATATTTTATTATTTTGTTACACAAATAAATTTTTAGGTATTTGTTCTGCATTTAGCAACATTCAGTTGTTACCATTCATATTAATCAGCTAGATTCTACAAAAAGCCTTCATTTGGCCAAATTTCACATTCAACAGTTACCATTTAGATCTAATAGCTTATGTAGCTCTTTGTAATGAAAACTCAATTTGTCTCGACTTTGGCAAGTCTTGCGTCAAGTCAAGTCGTCGGACATGGATTATGTTGTCAAGTATTGCAATGATTTGTGCCACTTGTCTCCAAACTTTTCACATATAGACTAACTCAAGTCGTCTGATTCGGTTGATTAGTAGTTGACTTTTTAGTCTATTACCAGTCAAAGCCCACTGCAATGAACAAAGACACAACAACTGTCTCGTAATTATGATTTAGTATTTTTAGAGAAATTAACTACAAAACAGAGAGATGCATGTTTGATAATAAGACAAAGTACAAAGTAGTTTCATTAGGGCTGATTCAGATTGACAAAGTAACTACAAATCCAAAGACAATGTAACTACGTAACTGAACCTATAAAAACTGTTACAGAACTACATGGCTGCTTCTTCTTCTTGTTCTTTCTCGAAGAGAATGTCCCTCTCACTCAACTTTCACCCAGAGAGGAGATAAGATACCGAACCGGTTATGACGAAGTAATAAGCAAACCATTCTAAACCGAGACAAATTCGGTTAAACTTCAATTTACCTTAGAATATAAAACGATATTAAATAGAGAACATAGCACCAATTCGAACCCGTCAAAGGTAGTTGAGCGTGGATATGCGGTTTTGCGGTTTTGCGGTTTTTGTTGGTTTATTTCCTCTGTTTCGTGGTGTTGGAACAGAGCGCAGGGTGTTGGAACAATGAAAACTGTGTTTCAGAGAGAAAAGTTTGGGTATCTTGGATTGTGATTGAATCCTGTACGAAGCAGTTTCCTTAAAGAGTATTTCGACCCTATACAGCCTTGGGTTACACGAAATCCCTCGCAGGATAAGATAATCACGTCCACTCTTTGTCTAGGCTTAAGATCAAAGAGTAACAAAAAAAGATCTTGTGTATGTTTACTTTGGTTGCTTTTGTGAATCAGATCTATCTCTGTAGATCTCGAATTTCTTCTATATTCTGTCTCAGAGAGACAACAGAACTTATAAAGTTCTCATAAGGCCTCAACGAAACGTTTGCAACCGTTCGTTTAATGATTGAACCAAAAGTAATTGTTCGCAACATGTTGGAACAACTTGGTTCATGTTGTAACACCTTATTCACTTATATATCCAACATTCCTCCCCCATTTAAGTGTAATCTTTCATTCACAAAAACCAGCAACGAATAAACCAAACCACATGCATATATATAAATGTCGTATCGATTGAATTTACATACTGTGAATCACACGCATCTAATGACCGAGAATCAAAGTGTCCTATGGATTGAACTTATCAACTACTTTGGCCACGAGAGGATGAAACACGCATGAGTTTCTCACTACTCTTAATGTTTCTTGACACTATTAACAGCCATGTGTCCAATCCTCTCATAAGTGCATAGAAAGCCAAGTCCAAGCTTCTTGAAGCGGCTACACTTCACACTCACATAGGTAGATCCTTTACATCTTGCTTCTGCATTTGCAAATTTTCAAAGGATTTATTAAGAAGTCATACTTCAACCTAAAATTTCATGCAGATAATAAGTGTAAAGGGAAAGAGTATCACTCCATTCAATCATCCAATCCCTATGATTTCTTCTATAATTATTATGCTATATTCTCTTGTAATTACTTTTGATTATGTTCATCTTGTATATATATGTGCTCTATGTATATTGAGAAGTTATGAGAGTCAATATAATATTCTTCCCATCCTAAACTCTCATCACTCTAATATGGTATCATAGCAGGTTGCTCAAAAGTTTTGATCTAACAATCAAACTTTTTTTTCAAGCTATTAAGCTTCTTTGATTTTGTTATTTATCAAGCCTAGTGCTTTTCTATTCAAGTTCATCATGAACCTCTGAATCTAAGCCATTGTGCTTATTATTCAAGTTTTTTATAGACCTCTGAATCATTCCTCTCAAATTAAAAAAAAAACAAAAATGGTTTTCTTGTTTTCTTCTCATTTCTTCATCTTTTCTCTATTCTCTATTTCTATCTTCTTCTTCTTTCTAATTCCTTATCCTGAAAAAAAAAAAAATCGTTTTCTGCAGATTTTGTTGTGTTCCGCATGATGTTTTTGTAACACACAACCTCACCTTTTATCTCTTCTTCAAATTTTCTTTTTCTTTACGTTTAAAATAAAAAAAAAAAAAAAAACCCATCGAATCTCTTTGATCTCTCTCGAAAGCACCATCTCTTTCCATCTCACCATAGAGGATGTCTTTCTTCACAGCTGAGAGATCTCTACTTCACCGATTCCATCACAATATCATCAATATGTGGTGTTTCAAGCTCTTCCAAAACTCACCATTTCTCACCATCATATTTCGTCACACTCCATGTTCGTCAAAACCACTTTACTGTACTACTATGTTGTCATCATCATTCAAGATTGAAGTGGCTAAAGCCCCTTCATCTTGAGGGGGAATGTAAAGGGAAAGAGTATCACTCCATTCAATCATCCAATCCCTATGATTTCTCCTATAATTATTATGCTATATTCTCTTATAATTACTTTTGATTATGTTCATCTTGTATATATATGTGCTCTATTTATATTGAGAAATTACGAGAGTCAATATAATATTCTTCCCATCCTAAACTCTCATCACTCTAATAATAAGCACTTCCTTTGGGATTACATAAACAGTGCTACAACCTCTCAAGGAATGGGCTCACCTTGAACTCAGCTCCTAGCGTTGTACTAGAAGGGAGTTGGGTGTCCCACGACTAGAGGTTTGAGATGGACTTCAAACCAATCCCTTCAGCTGACTTTATTACCAAGTCCCTAGACAGACCCTTCGTCAAGTGATCTGCTAGATTCTGCTGAGACCGAACAAACTCTAAAGTTATCACACCGTGAGTGATCAATTCACGAACAGCGCTATGCCTTACGCCAAGGTGTCTCGACTTTCCATTGTACACTTGGCTATAAGCCTTAGCCATAAGTTGCTTGACTATCACAATGGATTGAGATAGGAGACACTGGTTTCGACCACAATGGAATCTCAGAGACAAGGTTTCTCAACCACTCAGCCTCTCTACCAGCAGCTGCCAAAGCCACAAACTCAGATTCCATAGTCGAACTTGTGATACAAGTTTGTTTCTTAGATGCCCAAGAAATGGCACCTCCCCCAAGTAGGAACACCCAACCACTTGTAGAAGTATGATCTTCCACGTTGGTGATCCAACTTGCATCAGAATAACCTTCCAAAACCGAAGGAAATCCTCCATAACACAAACCATAGTCCATGGTTCCTCTCAAGTACTTGAGCACACGCTTTACAGCCTGCCAATGGTGAGTACTAGGATTACTAGTGTATCTACTCAACCTTCCAACTGCATATGCAATATCTGGCCTTGTGCTTGTCATTGCATACATTAAGCATCCAATCACTTGAGAATATTCGTGTTGCAACACAGCCTTTCCTGTGTTAGGCATAAGTTTCACACTTGCCTCCATGGGAGTACTTACAGGGGCACAGTTCAAGTAATTGAACTTCTTTAACACTTTCTCAACGTAGTGAGATTGTGATAAACATATCCTCCCATTGTCACGCTTGATTCTAATACCAAGAATCACATCCGCCTCCCCCATGTCCTTCATGGCGAAATTTGATGACAAAAACTCTTTTGTGAGTTCCACTAATCTAAGGTTGGTACCAAAGATCAACATGTCATCCACATATAGACAAATGATCACTCCATTACTGGAATCATCAAACTTGCTATATAAACACTTATCTGATTGGTTAATCTTAAAACCAAAAGACAAGACAGCTTCATCAAATCTTTGATGCCATTGCTTAGGAGCTTGTTTCAGCCCATACAGTGATTTCACCAGCTTGCACACCTTGTGCTCACTTCCAGGCACAACAAATCCCTCTGGTTGTTCCATATACACCTCTTCTTCCAAGACACCATTTAAAAATGCAGTCTTAACATCCATTTGATGGATCACAAGATCATGAATGGCTGCTAAACCAATCAAGAACCTTATAGAAGAGATTCTGACAACAGGAGCATATGTATCAAAATAATCAATGCCTTCCCTTTGTCTAAAACCTTGTATAACCAATCGAGCTTTGAACTTATCGATTGCACCACCGATCAACATTTTCTTTGTGAAAATCCACTTGCAGCCTAAAGCTTTGCAACCAGGTGGGAGATCAGTCAGGAAATAAGTATTGCTTCCTACTATAGAGTCCATCTCATCATTTACAGCTTCTTTCCAGAAAGCAGCATCAATAGAAGCCATAGCTTCACTGAATGTCCTAGGTTCATCACCAACTAGGTAACAATATGAGTATTGTAGAACAATCTCATCTCTTGAACCTTCTACCAAATAAATTTGGAATTCAGGACCAAATGATTTCTCAATCCTTCCTCTCTTACTTCTACGAAGTACAGGTGACTCGCTGGTTGTTGGAACACAAGCCGAGATGTTGGAACGTACGTTTGTACCATCTCCTTGTCCAGTTCCAAACGAAACCAGATCCTTTGGTCTAGGTATTGATGTGAAACGATTCTCATCAAATATTGCATCTCTTGACTCAATCACAGTGTGAACTGCTATAGAATCATTAGGTTCAATGACATAGAACCTATAAGCCTTGGAATGCTCAGCATAACCAATAAAGATGCAATCAATACCTCTTTCTCCCAAAGTTCTTATCTTTGGTTGGGGTAGTCTTACTACAGCCCTGCAGCCCCAAACTCGAAGGTAGTTCAAGTTAGGCTTCTTTTTGTACCAAAGTTCATATGGGGTTATCTTGTTCCTTTTGTTAGGAACTCTGTTCAACAAGTAACATGCTGTTAACATGCCCTCACCCCAGAAACCGTCACTCAATCCAGAGTAGGATAACATGGAATTAACCATTTCTTTAAGGACTCTGTTCTTCCTCTCAGATACACCATTTTGTTGTGGTGTATAAGGAGCTGTGACCTCATGTATTATACCCACAGACTGAAAGTAAGCAGGATCATAATACTCACCACCTCTATCGGTGCGTAACTTCTTAATCAAGTTACTTTGTTGCAATTCAACCTCAGTTTTGTAAACCTTGAATTTCTCTAAGGCTTCATCCTTAGAGTGCAACAAATATACAGAACAATATCTGGAATAATCATCAATGAATGTGACAAAATATTTCTTATTCCCCAGAGATGGTGTAGCATGCAAATCACATAAATCACTATGAATCAGTCCAAGGACTTCCGATACCCTAACAATGCTATCAAATTTCTTCCTAGTTATCTTAGTCAACATACATGTTCTGCATTTCTCTACATTCATGTCAAAACCAGGAATTAAACCTTCCTTCGACATTTCAAGCATCCTAGCATAATGTACATGGCCTAATCTCATATGCCATAAGAAACTATCATTTCCGACTGTTGTTGGAACAGCGGATCAGTGTTGGAACATGTCATATAACTAGAATTGATAACTTTATTAATATTAAGCATAAACATGCCATTACAAAAGTATCCAAATCCAACAAAGAGACCACGTTTGGACAGTACATATTTATCAGACTCATACACTTGTTTGTATCCAGACTTGTTTAAAACACTTCCAGAAACTAAGTTTTTCCTAATTCTGGGTACATGAATAACATCATCAAGATGAAGAGATTTCCCAGAACTAAACTCCAGCACCACTTTTCCACGACCAAGGATAGGAGCAGTTGACTCGTTGCCCATATAAAGAACAGATCCATCTTCCACTGCTTCATAAGACTTGAACCAGCCACGATCTTTGCAAACATGTGTTGTTGCACCCGAGTCAATCCACCACGACACATCATCATCCTGCACATAACATGCCTCAGATATCTTTGATACATAATACACTTTAGGAAATGTATCAATCTCAGAAATCTGACCTTGATGTGGTGATTGGCCTTGGTCCTTAGACCCTTGCCCAAAACGCTTCTGAGGCGTCTTATCCTTATCCTTTCCAGCCCTACAATCACTCTTGAAGTGACCAGGCTTGTTACAATTCCAACAGACAGGTTTAGACCTCTTGTTGGATCGATTGTGAGTGTTGCTGTTAAAGGGACGCTTCTTCCCTTTATTTCTTCCACTTAGAATCATCACCTCCTCCATCATGTTGATAGAAGAAGCCTTAGCCACTTTGGGTTTTCCACCCTCTTGCATTCTCAGAGAATCCTCTATGCGCAAGTGGCTGCCAAGTTGTACCAAAGACAACTCTTCCTTCTGGTGCTTTAAAGTTCGCCTGAAATCCTTCCAGGAAGGAGGCAACTTGTCAATGATACTTGACACAGAGATGGACTCATCCATCTTCATATCATACTGAGCAAATTGGCCCAATATGCGAAGCAATTCATTGTATTGCTCCATCACTGGTCTTGTATCAGACATCTTGTAATTGTTGAAATTACTCACAAGGAACTTCTTACTAGAAGCATCCTCTGCCATGTACTTTGCTTCCAACGCATCCCACAATTCCTTTGCGGATTGGACATTTTGATAGACATCAAACAGAGAATCAGACATACCATTGAGAATGTGGCCGTGACAGATGTAGTCATCATTCTTCCATTTGAGTTGTCTCCTTGCTTGCTCTGCATACTCCTCACTCGCTGGATCTACCGTCACAAGAGGCATCGGCATGCTTAGAACATGAACAACATTGAGTGTTGTGAGAAGAAAGTGCATCTTCTTCTGCCATCTTCTGAAATCGACCCTTCAAACTTGTCTAACTTCCCAAAGTTGGTTGTCATCTCACGCACAGAAACACCAGCCATCGTTCTCAGAAAATACTCTTTAAGATTGTTGGTTTATCTCCTCTGTTTCGTGGTGTTGGAACAGAGCGCAGGGTGTTGGAACAATGAAAACTGTGTTTCAGAGAGAAAAATTTGGGTATCTTGGATTGTGATTGAATCCTGTACGAAGCAGTTTCCTTAAAGAGTATTTTGACCCTATACAACCTTGGGTTACACGAAATCCCTCGCAGGATAAGACAATCACGTCCACTCTTTGTCTAGGCTTAAGATCAAAGAGTAACAAGAAGAGATCTTGTGTGTGTTTACTTTGGTTGCTTTTGTGAATCAGATCTATCTATGTAGATCTCGAATTTCTTCTATATTCTGTCTCAGAGAGACAACAGAACTTATAAAGTTCTCATAAGGCCTCAACGAAACGTTTGCAACCGTTCGTTTAATGATTGAACCAAAAGTAACTGTTCGCAACATGTTGGAACAACTTGGTTCATGTTGTAACACCTTGTTCACTTAAATATCCAACAGTTTTGAGGGTGGAGTCCTGAGGGATGAAAATGGAGCTTGGATATGCGATTTTGCGCTTAATATTGGTGTCTGCTCTGCCCCTCTCGCAGAACTATGGGGCGTCTATTATGGGTTACTTATGGCGTGGGAAAGACGGGTTAGGAGATTGATTGTTGAAGTGGATTCAGAACTGGTTGTTGGGTATCTCACGACAGGGATAGGGGAGTCTCATCCGCTATCTTTCCTAGCACGCTTGTGCTATGGCTTCCTCTCTAGGGACTGGCTAGTCCGGGTTACACATGTTTACAGAGAAGCGAATCACGTGGCCGACGGGTTAGCGAATCATGCATTCTCGTTACAGTTGGGTTTTTCTTTCTTTACCTCTGCAACTTCTGAAATTTCAGTTCTGTTGTTAGAGGATGGTGGTGGCTCTACATGAGTCCGTTTTGTAAGCGTCTAGTTTGTTTTAATAAAATCGAGGGAGACTTTGTCTCCTCTCTCTTACCAAAAAAAAAAAAGGTAGTTGAGTCTCGCACGAGTAAACTTCTCCCACCAGGGTTCGAGTCCATATTGGTACCATTTCGGCAGAGATAATTTCTCTTGCCGCTTCTTCCGAGCGCGAAAGTTTCGAGATTGTTCCCAGTATAATCTGGTTTTTCTTCGCCGGAGATGTCTCCATGCGCGTCTTCTTCCCGAATGTGGAAAGTAATTTCCCAGCGTCAGCTGCCGTTTGTCTCTAGCTTGAGACCTCAAATGAGTAATCTAAATTACCTCTCTTTTTGTTTTTTTTTTAATTATAAAAGCTAAAAATAAGACATTGTGTTAGAATCAGAAAGCAGCAAGAACAAAAGACCCAAGAACAACCTAAATCAAAAGAACATGTATAGTATTAGAAAGAGGGAGCGGGAAGCAAGAGTCATCAGTATTAAATAGTTTACTTGAAGGTATTCTGTTAAAAAAACATAGCTCTTCAAGTGGTTAATCTCTGGGTGAATTTACATTAATTAACTTTTTAATTTGTTAAAAACAAGCATATACATAGCCTATGTTTTCTTTTGAACATTTTTTGGCTATATTATTTGCTGCATATTTGAGTAGTCAACACTGTTTGTTTTCTCTCCTATTTCCCAATCCAATTTATAATCGATATTTTTTCCATTTGAGTGAAAAAAAATTGCAATTCAGTGATAGTCAGAGCCGGCCCTGAAGGCAAGCAAAGTAAGCAGGAGCTTGCGGCCCTGTATTAATATAGGTATATTTCGGCCCTGATTTTCCAAAAGTTCCCTTCAGTCTAGTGCTATGTACAGATAATATAATTGGAAAATTTATAAATAACATTGGAATAATGAGGTCTTGTTTTGAAATTTAAAATTTCTGAATAATTTAATTAATACGAAATTTAATTAATAAAAATAAATTTAAATAATAAAAACAAAAGATCATAATTTGATTTTTATATTTTTCATTTTAAACTAATAAATTTTTTTATTCCTAATTATCTGCAAAAACATTTTGTATTCTTATTTTTGTGGCTTTATATTATGGTTTATGTGTGATATTAAAGTTGTTTATATAAAATTTTCTCTACATTTATCAAATTTTCGAATTTTATTTTTAATTAATAATTATTTAGTAATGTTTTGTTAAAATAAAGTTAAAAGAGTCTTTTTTACATACAAAAATGTATTTAAAAAAAAATAGTGTATTTTTCAAATATTTAAACATAACTACGGTATTTTTCAAATAATCCCTAATTATATATTATATTTATTTTAGTAATTTTTGGTTAAAACGCTTTTGCACCCGCTAGCCAACGAGTCAGAAACATCTCGCAAACGCAACCGCTATGAATTGCTATACCAGTCATACAAACAGCTTAATTACGTTTTTAATCGCAAAATTCCGCTTCCGCAAACTCCCGCAACCGCAAACTTCCGCAACCACAGCGTTTAAACCAGTGTAGCCCTAAGTCGTATAAACTAAATTGTCGATTGTGTGCGCGTTGTGGTTTGGTTTTAGGAGGGAATCATAATGTTTTAAAATTTAGAAATGATCGTTATCTTAGGATTCTCTATTTTGTATTTTCCAATGTTGTTTATAACCCTATACAAAATGTAATGCAAAAATCCTATGAAATAGAACGAACTTCACCGCTTTCTTAAACAATGTGATCATTGGCTTCTTGTGATAATGGTTCTCGCAACATGCATTTGACGCTCTAACATTTATATATTTTATGAATCTTATATAGGAAGGGTTATGTAAGTAGGCGCTTTATTAAACATTTATATTGGCATTAACAATCATACATGTAATATACAGTACTAGAAACTAATTAACAATTTCGTTAACAACCTTGTTGATAAAACACAAGGATTAGCACATTAACAAATTCCTTAAAAGGTCTCGTTATCGATCAAGACTATTACTAAGGTGATGATTGGTTTCCCTGTTACTACCCGCAAACGCAAACTCAGCGGTTGGTAGCGGTCATTAGCGTTTTGTAACAATCACAACAACCGCTATGAACCGCTCAATACCACTACTCTGTACCGTTCTATATTGCTGAAAATCAAAAACTCCTTTCCGCCAGCGTTTGCGGTTGCGGGCGGTTGCGGATTGGAAAAAAAAATCTCCAAATTTAAAATTTTAAACTAGGATAATTCTTCAAATTTAAAATTTATGAATAATTTATTTAAAACAAAAATTAAATAATAAAAATAAATTTAAATAATAAAAACAAAAAATTATGATTTGATTTTGAATATTTTCATTTTAAACTAATAAACATTTTTATTCATAATTATATGTTAAAACATTTTATATTCTTATTTTTGTGACTTTATATTATGGTCATTGTTTATGAATAATAAATTATTTTTGATATTAAAGTTGTTTATATAAGATTCCAAAAATAATTAAATTCGCTGAAGACAAATTTTAAAATTTTATCTACATTTATTAATTTTAAAATTCTAAAATATAAATAACTGAACAAAAATAAAATAATATCATTCATAATATTTTCGAATTTTGTTTTTAATTAATATATAGTTACTAATGTTTTGTTAAAATAAAGTTAAAATAGTCTTTTTACATACAAAAAATGTATTTTTCAAAAAAGAAAAAACATTTATGGTATTTTTTAAATATCTAAACATAAATAGGGTATTTATCATAGAACCTATAATTATATTGCATACGATAGCCAGCCAGTCAAAAATATCCCGCATACGCAACCGCTATGAATTGCTATAACATTCGTACAAACAGCTTAATTACGTTTTTAATCGCAAACTCCCATTTCCGCAAACTCCCGCAACAGCAACCGCAACGTTTAAACCAGCCAAACCCTAAGTCTGAGGCCATGACAAGTATTTTCATAGGCCTAGTGCAATAGTTCCGATTTTACAAGAATAAACAATAGAAATTACAAATAAGACCTTAAAGTTTTGAAAAGGAACCTAAAATGACACATTAATTTTCAAAAAACAAATTTGTCTTGGGCAAATGCACCTTTGACACATGCTAAAGGCCGTGTCTGAGTCGGAGGATGCAACATCTAGATATGTTGTAGTAAATTATGAATCCCAAATAGGATGTAGTAAATTGTTCACTCCTAATTCTTATGATGTGTTTTAGTAAATTATTAATACTAAAATATTTTATTCTAATAATATTTTAAACTTTTTGTTTAACTATTTCAGTAAGAACTAAGAAGTTTACCTATTCATTAGGAAACAAATTTATTTAATTCCGCCATTTTCAGCTAGCTTCATCTATTACCATTTAAATCTTAAATTGTTTCCAGAAATCATTAATAAATTTGGATAGACTCAAATATATTGATATTATTACTAGGGGGTGACCCACGTTTCGCCATGAATTTATATTGTTATGTTAGTTTTATTATTTTTCCGCAAATTTAATATTTTTGCAAAAATATTATACACATATTAGTTAAATATAATTAGAGTTAGGAAAGGTTTTAGCACCAATTTGTTTCATCTCGTTCCATTTCGTTCATATTCATCATGTACGATCTTTCTAATGTATGTCCCGTCCCGTCCAATCTCATCCTATCCCATTATGTTTCTTTCCATTTTGAAATGTCCAATTCCATTTATTCTTATCCCGTTCCCTATATATAATTAGGGGTAGGCATAATTATGTCCCATTCTGTTCCTTTTCATCTTGTCTCGTTTTTTCCCGTCCTGTTCATCATGTCCGCCCCATCTAGTCTCATTCTATTATATTATATTCCTTTCCATTTTGTTATGTCTCTGACTCATCTCTAAATATAATTAAGGGTAGGTAAAATCCCGTCCCGTCCAATCCTGTCACATTTTGTTTCTTTTCATTCGGTCCCGCCCAACCTTTTCGTCTTTTCATATCTCATCATGTTCTTTTCGTTTTTCCTGTTCCACTCCTAAATATAATTAGAGGTAGGCTCGTCCTGTTATATCTCGTCTTGTCACTTAATATAATAAGAAGTAAGCCAAATTCTCCTCTTCTCCGGTTCTTTTTTTGTCTCTTCATGTTCGACCTCGTCTCATTTCATCCCAAATTACTTAAAAAAAATCAGTGTTCTTTCTATAATATTTTTCTATTATTATTATTACTAAATAATAGTTTTGTAAATCTATACATAAAATTTCTCTATTTTTACTAAATGACTTTTCATATTCAGACTATTATAGTAATAAATGATAAAATTAATATAAAAAGAAAATACCATATAATAATTTGATATGCTGAGGTGTCACAATATAAATTTCTTCTCTGCTAACGTGACAGCACCAAAAGAGAGGAAACTCTACTTTATATATAGAAATATATTTAACTTAAATATATATTATATATTTTAGAGTCAAATATATTGATATTATTTTTGTCAAAGCAAAACCGATCTATTAGTCAACAAATACCACAAGATTTGTTTCCATTTATCGGTTTTGCTTTGACAAAAATAATATCAATATATTTGACTCTAAAATATATAACATAAAGTTAAGTTATATATTTAATTTATATTTTTTCTAGAAAACAAAATCTTGCTCTATTTAAGTTTTGAAGATTCTGTATCAATATTTGGATTATATACTTAATATAGAGTCAAATATATGGGTCATAATTAATGATTTTCAGAAAACAATCATGTATAAGAATGACTAGTCCTCTTCCTTTCAAAAATCTATTTTCTTGTGTAAGAGTTATCATCTATATAAAAAAATCTTGTTGCAAGAATCTATTACAAATTAAAATTTGAGAATAACTATTTAGATGATTATAAAATGGGCATATTCTACACACTTTTAAGGATCTATGATAGAAATGTGGTCGTGATTTCACGTGCACCAAATTATCTTTGACACGTGAGATCACAACAAACCACCCGACTTGTAGATGCTGAAAAAACTCGTGTAAGTTTGCATCTAATCTTTATACCTCTTTATACCAAAAAACCGATCCAAATTCAAAATTACTAACCTAATCATATTATTGGATTCTTCTAAATCACACTATCTTAATTTTGATAATTTATATGATCTTTATTCTATCATACTCTCTTAATTTTTGATGATTTATTCACACCTTTGTAGAATAAAGAGCGCTTATGACTGAATTTTTAATATTTTTTGGACTGTATTTAAAATTTGGGGCAGATTTGTGAAAGCAAAGTAAAATCCAGAAACAATTCGTTATTAATGTTTTTTTAAATATAAATGAGAGAGAAACCAGTAGTGGAGATGCTGCCATGCTAGTGATTTTGTTTTCCTTTAGAAAAAGATTGAATGAAATTTTGTTGATTTGATATAATATATATATCGTGTGCTCCTGCTAATGAACTTGTTATTTTACTTAGGGTTTTTCCGGACACTTCAAAGCTGCAGAAGATGAAATTATTATGGAACTGTGAAACATCCCGAGATTGTGCACATATATTCCAATATTCAGGCTTATCTCAGGTTAATAAATTCTCACTTTTCATAAACAACAATATGTGATTAAATTATATGATAGAGTAAACAGTAAAATAATAATATAAATCATGAATACGTGAAACGATGTTATTTCAACTTCCGTCGACTGTCCTCGCCGGCAGAAGGATTCTTCCGGATTTCTATCTCGATTCCGGCCACCACCTTTTATTTCAAATCCTCGACTGCTTAATCTTCTGCTGCATCGCTACGGTGTTTTCACCGGTGAGCTCCTCTGCCTATTCCCGTCTCACCGAGATGTTTCCATTGTTCCTCCATCAATCCGCCTCAGATCTGTCTTCATTCGCTTGGTTCTCCAACCAGCCGCTGTTAGATGGTCCTGTTCCCTAACACCGAAGCTATCGCCAACTCTTCCTCCACATTAGTCACTGATCTTCTCAGCTGTGTGTTTAGGTTGTGCTAGTGTTGATCAGTCACCTTCCCAAGTTCTACCAGTTATTAAGTTGCCAATAGAAACTTTGATTAGCTCATATTCAAATTTCTAGACCCTGACCATGAGGGTCCGTTCTTTTCAAATTTTTCCACTAAGAAAATAGATTTTCTTTCAACTTCCACTTTCCTCCACGTGAATTATTTATCAAAATTTTCCACGTCGATTTTCTTCGTTTTCAAAGTCGATAAAATGTACCATCTCCCAAACAGAATTGTTATTTTAGGTAGTGTTTTTAATGGAACCATAGAATGCAACAAGTTTAGTTTCGAGGAGCCTAAGTGGTATGAGCTGTCTTTCAATACCACAAGTTTCCAGCTTTACGGTGAATGTTATGTTGATGCATCTCGTTGGAGCTGGATTGTGCCACCCTCATCATAAGCCATGTCTATTTAAGATTAGCCCATCTGACAAACTGACAAAACCCTAGCGGTTTGTCTAAAAAGGAACAAAGTCGGCTAGAAAAAAGGAATCCTCCATGCAAAAAAGGAAAATCTCTCCAAAAAGGAAAGATAAGACCAAAAAATGCAACAACTAAGGTTTTGAAGATTCCAATTTCCACGTTTTCACTTTAAAAATATGATTCTGCTATTTTTTACCGCTCACATTATTCATCAATTTTACACGTTTTCACATATTTGAAAAATGATTCCGCTATATAAAACTATCGTACTTGTTGAAAATATAACTAGAAAAAATAAAACGTGATTAATATATATATTTTTTTTGAACAACTCGTGATTAATATACTAAAACTAGCTTTTCTGCGTTTATAACTTTTGATAAAAAAAATTGTATTCTGTCCAGTTTATTCTGCAAACACTTATTCACTTATTCCGTTATTTTGCTATTCTTCTGACATAGCAATCAGACCCTAAGAAGTATGGACCGTCTTTCAAATTCAGTAGTCAATTTACTGCTTTCCAGCTCTACGTCAGGTGCTTTGAATCTCTTTTATTGTTTAATTATCTTTTATAAAAGGATCTCTCTTGAGTTCGCTTTCATTTACGTTCAATAGAAAAACAAACCTCTCATTCACAATAGAAAAACACTAGGACTTTCACCCGCGCACGCGCGGGTCTGTATCTTAAATCAGTTTAAAATATATTTTAATATTTTTTTAAACTGCAAAAATCAACAATTAAAATTTATCAATATTTCAATACCAAAACTCTCTGGAAAACAAAAGTTTTTAGATATATCAATATCGTATTGAGATCAAATCTTGACATACAAAAATATTGTTTAGATCATATCCGGTAACAAAAATGTTTGTGTATGTCTAATGACCAAAACTTACTTGAAGATATTCAAATCATTATAATAGGTCACTAAACTTATTTGTAAATATGTTTATTGAAATTCTTAAAATTAGATGTCAACAATATTGTATGTATATACATGATGTTTATTTAAAATAACTTCAGTTGGTTATGTTAGAACTTAAAATGCTATAAATAACAATATTTGTATGTAATAAATTTAAGCTAGATGATAAACTAATATTTTGGTAAGTTTTCAATGGTTATAAAACCTAAAACCTAAATGAAGAGAAGCTAGTCGACACACATAATTGTTCTTCATTTTCTTCTTCGTTGTTGTTTTAAAGTTTTTTTTTAATTTTCTTTGATTCATTCTTTTTCAGTATCTTATGTTTTGTTTTCTTCTTTGTCTTTGGTCTTATTTGATTTCTTCTTCATTTTCACTCATCTTCGTCTTCCTCTTCTTTTTTTTCTCTTTTTTGTTTTGTTTTGATTTGGTTTCTTCTCCTTTGTTCTTATTTTATTTCCTCTTTAGATTGGTCTTCGCAAGTTTTTTTTGTTGTTGTTAGGTTTCTTCTCCTTCGTTCTTGTTCGAATTCCTCTTCAAATTGTTCTTCACAAGTTTTTAATATGGTTTTTCCTTATTCATCTTTGTCTTCTTTGGTCTCTATTTTGTATTCGCAATTCAATATCTTTGTTTTCGCTATTCTTCGGTTTTATCTTGGTACTCTTCTTTTTGTGTCTACTTTTTTCTTCATTTTGTTTTCTCTTATTTCTGTAGGTTATTCTCGACCCTTAAAATTCTGCATGGTTCCATTCCTCTTGTAAAATTCTGCATGGCTCTATTCCTCTTAAATTTAGAATAAATTATAATTAAATAAAACACAATTTCGTTACCTGAAAAACTGAAAATAAAATCAAGCTAGAATGACTTATTGAACAAAATATATTCAAAACAGGCCCTTTGAATGTCATATGTAAATACTAAAATGAGAAGGAATTTATCTTATTCTGTTTTTCATAAATTTACTTTTGTTTATATTCCTTCTCTTTCAAGGACATCTTTTAAAAGTACTACTTATAAACACATGAATATGTAAATATTACAAAACATTGAAAAATAGAAAAGGAACAAAATACAGCCTTCTATTGTGTTTGCCTTTTCCTTTCAATTTGTGTCATGTAATCACTATTCTGATTTTTTTTCTTTCTTCATAATCAATATTATTTTCCCCATCGAAAGCTTACTAATTTAGGAGCAACAATTCACTTTTGATTTAATCTACACTTTGGTAATTTCGATTCCTTGTTCTCTTCATAGTCCTTTGAATTTTTTGTGGTAATGTAACTTATTTATTAATTAATTGGATGTGCTTCCATTATCAAAATACAAAAGAAAATCAATTGAACACCAAAAGACCATATAATATTGGGTTTTGTGCAAAACAACCCTCAAACTAAATTCTTTTTGCAAATCAAACCCTCAATTTAAAGTTGTGCAAATCAAACCTCTGAAGTCAAAATAACCCGCAATATAAGACATCTCTATATTTGTGACAAAATTTAAAATGATTTTATGCAAAAAAACCCGCGAACTATTTTTTGTGTGCAAATCTAACCTTCAACTTAAAAAATATGCAAGTCAAACCTGCAAAATCGGAAGTCACTGCTAAAATGGACTTATATGTATTTGTCCTTAACTACAAACGTTGACTCAAAACGTCATGACATTTAACTAATATTTTAACCATTTTTATTAAAAGTAAATTAAAAAAAAAAAAACAAAAAACTTTAATCTTTAATTTCCTTTCTCTTTCTCCTCTTATTAATGAATTTATCTCGAGTAATCTTATCGCGAATAAGTTGATTCTTTTCTTCATGATCTCATTAACTAATGACGACGAAGAGACAAAGATAAGAACTAATTTACTCGCAATAGAATTATTCGAGAGAGACTCATAAAGACATAGGACTTCAGATCTTCCAAGTAATTATATTGTGAGTAAGTTGGTTCGGTTTTAATTTTCTGGATTGGTTACGGTTTAGTTTTTTTGGATTTGGTTAAAAACCTAACCCTCTCCTTATTGATGGAGAAAAAAAAAGAAGAAATATTGAATTATTGTTTTAAGTATTTTTAATAAAAATGGTTAAAATATTATAAATGTTATGACGTTTTGAGTCAACGTTTGTAGTTATATGGACAAATACATAGTTCATTTTAGCAGTGACTTTCGATTTTGCAGGTTTGACTTGCATATTTTTTAAGTTGAGGGTTAGATTTGCACACAAAAAATAGTTCGCTTTTTTGCATAAAATCATTTTAAATTTTGTCACAAATATAGAGATGTCTTATATTGCGGGGTTATTTTGACTTCAGAGGTTTGATTTGCACAACTTTAAATTGAGAGTTTGATTTGCAAAAAGAATTTAGTTTGAGGGTTGTTTTGCACAAAACCCTATAATATTCGTAATAAAGCAACCGGATTTTGTTTCTTTCATAGAAGGACATGTATACCTTCAGTGTGATGCCCATTGTCTTCGTTTCAACCATTCATTTGCTTCATGATTTTTTATTAATCCACTACATATCCTTTAGAAGAATTGATCGATCTATATGAACTTTCAATATCTGATGTCAAAGTATCTTGTCTTCAATATATATCCCTCCATCTGGCTTCCACGTGGTTTCTCGATGTTGGATTTGTTTGATCTTATATCAAACTCTGACGTGAACATATATTTATTCATGTAAGCTACATTTGATCAATATCCAGTTAATACAATTGTAGCTTTGGTAGGTGTTCAAAAGGGAGGAGAGGACTCTTGGTATATATAAGAAACTAAGGTGATGATTGGTTCTCCCGCTACCACCCGCAAACGCAGCGTTTGCGGTTCGTAGCGGTTCTTAGCGTTTTATAACAATCACGACAACCGCTTTCAACCGCTCTATACCACTCTGTACCGCTCTATATCGCTGAAAATCAAAAGCTCCTTTCCGCAAGCGTTTGCGGTTGCGGGCGGTTGCGGTTTGAAAAAAAAAAAAAAAAAACATAATATCTCCAAATTTGGAATAAGGGTATATTTTTTTGAAAAATACCATAATTATGTTTAAAAATTTCGAAAATACCCTAAATTTTTTCTGTTTTGAAAAATACACTTTTAAAATGTAAAAAGTATGTTTTGACGTGATTTAAACAAAAAAATAATAAATAATTACAAATTATAAACGAAAATTTAAAAAAATAATAAACTAATAAGTTTTTTTTCAAATAAATATAGTATATGTTAAACTGAAACAAATTTTAATATTTTGGATCTTTATATAAACAACTTAACCTCATACACATTCAAACCAAATGAAACTTTAAATAAATTAAAACTTTACATATATTTAAAGTTTATAAATTATTAAAAATTTAAAAGTGGAGAAATATATCTTTCATTTTTAATGTTTATCTTTTGAAAAATTTAAATATTTTTGAAACTTTGCATAAACAACTTTAATCTCACCCCATTTAAACTTTATATAAACAATCTTATATTTTTATTAAATTGTTTAAAAAAAACTAAACAGGTAATTAGGATGTTAAAATGATACAAAATTATTATCAAATATTAATATTTTATATTTCTTATTTGAATTTCGTTTTTATTAAATTAGGAATAATCATTTTACATATAAAAAGTGTATTTTTCAAAACCAAAAAAAAAGGGTAGTTTTCAAATTAAAAATTCATCAAAAAATATATTTCAAAAAAAAAATTATTAATATGGTTATAAATGTTTTGAATAATTATATATTATTTTTATTTTAGTAACTTTTGGTTAAACCGCTCTTGCACCCGCTGGCTAACCAGTCAAAAATATCCCGCAAACGCAACCGCTATGAATTGCTATACCAGTCGTACAAACAGCTTTTAATCGCAAACTCCCGCTTCCGCAAACTCCCGCAGCCGCAAACTCCCGCAACCGCAACCGCAGCGGTTAAACCAGTCAGACCCTAAATAGATTAAAAGTGTGTTAGGGTTTTTAATTTTTATTAGCTAAAGGAAAATTTCCTTATTTGTTTCCTTATTTAATTTCCAATAGTATCATTATTTGTTTTCTTTTTTCTTAAAGGAAAATTTCATTTTTTACAATTCTGCTAATAAAAATAAAAAGTAAATTAATGAAAAAAAAATTCAAATATAAATAATTTTAGATGTTGATATATAATGATATTGTTGGTATAATTTTCTTATTTATTACATATCTCTACTAATATTACACTTATATATTCTGAAAAATTTCGTATTGCTTATCTTTGAATTATGAAACTTTCTTGAAATATAAAAATATACAAAGAAATTTAACTAATTGTACAAATAGCTAATTTTATGTGATGATGTGGAATGATCCTATTGATTGTTTAAAATTCGGAAACTTTCTTAATCTAGGAGATGCTTATGTGGACCAATCAAATTGCGTTTTATAATCCTATGTGGACGCTCTCAGAGGCTTATAGCCTCAACTTTTATATAGTATAGATTAAGGGCAATTCGAATATGATAAATTCTATAAATTTTTGGCGTTTATACACAAATAGAATAATTTTAGAAAAGGAAATTTTGCAGATTTATTCAAGATTTTCATTAAGGGTAATTCTGTAATTCCGTGGCTCAGATTGAATGTGGTGGTTCCATTCGAAATTTTGACTTTGTAAATAATATATTAGATGTTAAGAAGTTTTAAGAAAATGTCAAAACTTGAGTTTTTCCCCTTTCTATTATTTGAAATACTAAAGTTTTTTTTGGATTTTGTTGAATCTTTATTGTTACACGTTATCGAAAAGAAAAAAACCCATGAGTTTTCTCTCTTTTTTTTTTTTGGTTGCTGAAGCAATTGAATATGTGTTTTTATACATCTACTAGTTCAATTTCAGTACGTGACAAGAAGACAGAGGCTCGCAGAAATAGATCTAACTCTAATGGTAATAAGCTATAGAGTTTCTGCTTTTTTTTTGTTGTTGGTTGTGATATGGTAATCTACAAAAATGTATAAACTTGTTGTTATGTATATGCTTTTAGGCATAACGAGTTAAGCGGAAGAAGGAAATTCTCACCCGTGAATTGATTGTATGCAATATCTAAATGGGATAGTTTCGTTAAGTTGGCAAATGAAAAAAAGAATATTTCCACTTAACTCGTTATGCCTAAAATTTAGGTCTCTCAGTTGGGTTAGGTTTCCGATTGAAGCCGGAAATTCACCTACTAAATTCATTATACGAAAGGTCAAGATGTGTGACATGAGAAAGGTTTCCTAACCAAGAAGGAATCTCTGTATAGAGATCGCAAAATGAAAGAGTTAGGTTACGAAGATGATGGAGTTTGAAAAGACCTAAGGTAAAGTGAAATCACCTCGCCAGATTTATCTTCACATGTGACGCCCTCCCAAGAACAGCAATCTTTACTCTTGTTCCATGAACTTAAAGATGTATCATGATCTTCAAATGAATCAGATTCATTTACCGGAAACTCGTGTTTGAACTCGAGAAGAGCATCCCTCTGGTCATGATGGCAACAGTGGAGCATAGGAGGAGAAGCAAGAGTTCTAGAACGAAGGAAACCAAGAAGACGAAATACACGGTAACAACAATACCATAAAAGCAATTGTGTGGAATCGTCATTACTATTATCTCTTTATTTCTTCTTCTCTCTTTTGTGTTTGTCTGGAAGTAATAGTGTTTATATATATATATATGATAATGGCTTATGAAGCTCTTTTTTAAGAGATAGTAATGTTTTTACGAAAATAGCTTATGTAGCTCTTTCTATATGAAAACTCAATTTGTCTTGACTTTGGCAAGTCTTGCGTCAAGTCAAGTCGTCGGATAAGGATTATGTTGTCAAGTCTTGCAATGATTTGTGCCACTTGTCTCCAAACTTTCCACATATAGAGTAACTCAAGTCGTCGGATTCGGTTGACTGATTGTTGACTCTTTAGTCTCTTACCAGTCAAATCCCACTGCAATATGAACAAAGACACAACAACTGTCTCAAATTCAAACTGCAGTAAGACACACGAAAAACATGGTGCTCTTCCGGAAAAGATATCTCATGCTGTCACTCTCAGCAACCAATTCGAGCTTCTTGGATCAGCTACACACATGTGCACCTAAGGGAATTCTAAGCCTTCGCTAGGGTTTTACTCTTTTCATTTATAAAGAACACTGTTGTAATCAGAAAAGAGTAAGAGTGCAAGTTGCAATCTATTGAGTATTTATCTTCTCTTCTTCAAGTTTTAAGCTTAAATTCCTTTTGCTTTCAGAAGAGACATGTCTTTAAGGCATTGGCTTGAATTATGGTTACCAAGAAAGTACAAATGACTTATGGTGGGCATAATTATGTTTTAGTATTTTTAGATAAAGTAACTACAAAACAGAGAGATGCAAGTTTGATGATAATAAGACAAAGTACAAAGTAGTTTCATTAGGATTGATTCAGATTGATAAAGTAACTACGAATCTACCTGTAATGTTGAGATATGCAAAAAAAGAAATTTAACATGATATACTTGAAACTTAAACTAATAAAGCTCGAAACTCTGAGCTCCATATATGGAAGTGTTCAAAACTGAAACTGAAAGCTCAAGCCGACAGCAGTAAAAAGTTCAAAACTGAAACTGAAAGTAAAAACTTTAAATACAAAAGCAGCAAGAACAAACTATATCAAAATGGAATCCGAGAAATGAAAGTAAGAACTCCAATCAAACTGAAAATGAATTTGAAACTCTAAACTGAAAATGAGAAGCAAATGTAACAGACCAAACATGTTTCTTTTCGTTTATTGATCTTTGTCATTTTCTTTATCTTCTATAATTTCATCAATCGCAGAAGCAATCACAGGCTCTAACCAGTCATTAGCATTCCATGAAAAGAATAGAACATCTACCTCGTGAAGCTAATGATAAAACTAGATTGAACGTAGCTGTGTATCGAAGCTAACTTGAAGCTGAAGAAAGTCATCACACGTAAGGAACTCCACAAAGCGTGGAACCAAACCAGCCTGTATAACTTTTTTAACACGTACATTAAACATCTCTACAGAAAAAGAACATGTATAGTATTAGAAAGAGCTAATGGGAAGCAAGATCAACAGTATAAAGATTTTATTTGAAGGTCACATAAGCATTAAATTATCTGAACATAGCACAGCAAGAGTGACGTGTGAGAGAAGCAAGCGTGTTAGAGATTTTCATCTTCTGTGATTTATTAGGTGAATAAAAGTTTCGATTGGGCTTTTTGACGTGGAAAGTTTTGGTAAGGAATACTTAAATCGACGTGAAACCAGACTATAAATCACCAAACGCAGATAGCATTATTCCAGATAACGACATGACACTACTTTAATAAAGGATCTAAGAGCACACGCAGCGGAGAGACTGTATAAATCTTTTAAATGTTAATTTTAAATAAAAAAGAAATTGATTTTCGAGTAAAAACGATTTAATTAAAAAAATAAAAAAAACGTAACCCAATCGGGTTGCGCCAAGTGGCGAGCTTTGTCAGAGAAACGGTCTCCAAATCTCTCTGGGAAGAGACTTCTCTCACCAGTTTCTCACCATAAAGCTTGCCACGTAGATATATATTGCAATTTTTCTTTATTTTTTGGCTAAAAAAACTCTGCAAATCTCTCTGCTGCATGTGCTCTAACTATGGAGTCTATAACTCAAACATTCGTAGGACGAAGTTTCTGTATGCATTTTCAATTTAAGACACCAGAGAAAATAATTATTACAAACTATAAAATAGAAAAATACATTTGTAGAACACACACATACATATGCTTGACAAATACTTAAACGAGAGGATGCTGTTCGTCTGGTGACCATTTTGGGCTTGTTCCGACCGAAGTTTTACATGAACCACTTGTGTTTGTATGAAGAGAAGATATGTCCAATCACCAATCCGTATAACACACCAGGTACATAAGCTATCGCTGCTGCTTTCCAAATAATCACTTGTTCTTTTGGCTCTGATAAATCCTCTGATTCTTGTGGTGTAGGATTCAGGACATGATGAGTTTCTCCACATATATCTTCGAAGCCGTAGAGTCTGGGGTTGTACATGAACACTGAACAAGGCTGAAATTGAACCGGCCCGCCTCGTGGGATTGGACCTTCGAGATTGTTATGTGAGAAGTTCATGACTACCAAAAAGGAGAGGCTGCCAAGATCTTGAGGAATATGACCAGACAGCTGATTCTGGGAAAGGTCTAACGATTCTAGACCTGTCAGATTTGCCAAAGATTGAGGTATATTGCTTGTGAATGCGTTACCTGACAAGTTGAGAACAGTCAATTCCTTCAACAATCCAATGGAATTAGGGATCTGTCCACAAAATTTGTTTCCTGAAAAGTCAATAGCCCTCCAGGATGTGATGATCGGCCCAAATTTCATGTTCATTCCATAAGTCACCATTTCCATCGACATACGGTTTAAATAAAAATCTTGCATGTACACACCACTATCTTCTTCTGTTAATTCGGTCATTGCACGTCAGTTGGAGAAATAGAAAGGTGGCAAAGTTCCACTGAAGTCATTATGCGATATATCGATAATTTTCAAGCTTTGAAACCCAATAGAAACATTGTGATGATACAAGGGCCCGTAGAATTGATTTGATCGTAGGCTCATAACATGTAATGACGGCAGAGAACGCAACCAACATGGAAACTTGTCCTTGATTTTGTTGCTTCCGACATTCAAAAGCTTCAAGTGAGTGCAGTTGCTCAATGATTTTGGAAGTTTCCCCTTCAACTGGTTGCTGCTGACGTCAACTGACTCTAACCATGTTGTAGCATTGGCAAACAAATCTGGAGGAATAATTCCACTGAGATTGTTGTTTTGTAATCTCAGCGTGGTGAGACTAACAATGGTATTCCTCAAACATTAAGGGATGGACCCGCTGAAGCTATTGTTGGATAAATCTAATAGCAGTATCGATGTAAGGTTGCAGACCCAATGTGGTAATGGTCCTCGGAAGGAATTTGAACTAAGATCCAAAAGTAAGGTTTGTGTTAAATCCGAAACTTGGAAAGAATTTTCCAAACTGCTAAAAGAGTTGTGAGAAAGCCTCAACTCCGACACGCGCCAAAACCAACCTGGTATTTCGCCTTCCAACTTATTTCCGGAAAGATCAAGAGAAAGCAGGTTGACTAAATTTGATATGGGGATTGGCCCAATGAAATTGTTGTGGCTTAGATCGAGAGTAACGAGCTTGACCATGTTTGATATAGATCTGAGGATTGGTCCTGTGAAATAGTTGTCACTAAGTAACAATCTTTCGAGATTGGAAAATTTTGATATGGATTTGGGGATAGAGCCCTCAAAGTTGTTTTGATAAAGGGATAGAGTCTGAAGCTTAGAGGAGGAAGATGTATTCTTAAACTCTATAGGTCCCTTTAAATTGTTTCCCCACAAACTAACCCATCTTAACGAAGGAATCATAAATAAGGACGTAGGAAAAGTCCCTGAAAATGAGTTCCCACCCACATCAAAATATTCCAAGTTGTGGAATTGACTCATGTCAAATGGAAGAGGGAAATTCTCACCCGTGAAATGATTGAGTGAGATGTCTAAATGGGACAGGTTTGTTAAGTTGGCAAATGAAACAGGAATTTTTCCAGTGAACTTGTTTTTGCTAAGATCTATGTATCTTAGTTGGGTTAAGTTTCTGACTGAAGCTGGAACTTCACCTACTAAATGATTACCCTTAAGGTCAAGATGTGTGAGATGAGAAAGGTTTCCTAATGAAGAAAGAATGTCTCCATAGACATGGCATTCCCTAAGGATAAGGTTACGAAGATGATGGAGTTTGAAAATACCACTATATGGTTTCAAAGAGTTATTGAGAGGGATGAAACTAAGGTCAAGTGAAATCACCTCGCCCGATTTATCATCGCATGTGACGCCCTCCCAAGAACAGCAGTCGTTACTCTTGATCCATGAACTTAAAGATCGGGATTCCAGTTCATTTGTTGGAAACTCGTGTTTGAACTCTAGAAGAGCATCCCTATGGTCATGACGGCAATAGTGGAGCACAGGAGAAGCGAGTGTGTGGAGAACGAGGGAAAGCAAGAAGAAGAAATAAAAAGCAATATTACCAGAAAAGCAATAAGATTGGCGCAGAATCGACATTACTCTCTTTTATTTTCTTTTTCTTTCGTGTGTGTTTTTTGGAAGTGATAGGTTCTTGTGATTATTACTTAAAAAAATAAACTTACTTTGAGTTGATTTTCGCAAGTCTTGCGTCAAGTCGTCGGATAAGGTTTATTTTGTCTGTCTTTGAATGATTTTATCTCAAAAAATCTCAAATAGATTTTCTAACGAAAGATCAAAAATTTTCCTCATACTTTAAGTTTTTTTTTTCCTGTCCTACATAGCACGGCAGTATTGACGATTTGACGAGTGTGATAAGCAAGAGTGTCAGAGACGTTCATCCTCTACGATTGAGGACAAGAAAAGTCCTTTCCCTCGAGTCTCACCAAAACTCGTAAAGATTTTCCCTTTAACGACGAAACGAGACGAGAACGATCCCTTAAAGTAGTATAGACGAGAACTATTGATTCTCTCCTTGTGTTCAAATAAATCAGTTAAAATAACTTTGGTCGTCTATGCCTAATTTTTACCACTTGTTCATATTGTAACCCAAACTACTTGGAAACTCTCGCCTCGGGCATCAAATTGTTATACAGTATATACCATTAGAGAGAGACATCAGCATTTTCATAGTTCAAATTGTTATATACCATCAAATTGTTACCCAAAGTTTAAATAGCCAAGATCCGACCCGAAAAAGAAAAATACTCAAATGGTTTATATAAACCTTTACAACCGAAAGATCTAGAACCTGACCGAAAACCGGAATGCCCACACTTAGATACTACATATATAAAAAAAAAAGTATGTATAGAGCTAGAAGTTGGTTTGCGTCAGCAGTAGCAGAGTAGGCAGCAGTCTTTTGAAAATGTAAGTGAATGTATAAGGGATTGAAAATCATTGTGGTACGTTTCAAGGTTATTTTTTTTTTGGCCAAAGGCTTATTTTCGTTTCTAGGTTAAGGCAAGCATACCTGACGACGAATCAAATCCGCATAATAAAGACATTTTGCGGTCCAGTTATTTTTCACGATGGTGCAGAGAAAATTAAAAGATGCTCTCACAGTCATGTCATCTTTTTTTTTTTTTTTTTTTGTTTTTTTTGAACGACTTTTGATTAAAACAAACCGAGATTAACCGGGAACTGATACATGGGTAAGTTGACTCTTCGCTGACTTAGCGAGAGAGTCCGCTTTAGCATTCTGCGATCTTGGGATGAATAAGAAAGAGATGGAGCTAAAGAGTGATGGAAGAGCATGAATGTCAAAAAGGAGTCCATAGATCTCCTTGATGGGCTCTTGCGAGTGTAAAGTTAGAACAAGGTTCTGAGCGTAAGATTTGAGGATCAGATTGGTGAATCGATTCTCTAATGCATGGTTGAGGGCAGATCGGATTGACAGCGCTTCTGCCATGAGGGAGGATGAGACAAATTTCTCTGCCGATTGTCCTTCTCCGAGATCCGTTCCTCAGTTGTCGAGAAAAACCCATCCCGATCCGGCAATTCCTGAGTCAGCGCTCCAGGCTTCGTCAGTGAAACAGGTGACTGAATCTTCGAAAATTCTATGGGGCTTTGGGTTTCATGGTGTAGGCAAGGAGATATCGATGTTGTTTTGGGCATACTGCCATTCCTTGGCTTCTAACAGGGCTTTTAGTATGGTTTCTTCTGGTGTGAATGCTCTCTCCTCGAAGATTAGGTAGTTTCTCGCTGTCCATATAGACCAGATGAGCCAAGGGAATATCGGTCCTCGGTTTAGGCCTGTAGGTGGGAGGCAGATCATATGCTTGGAGGCTACGAGGCTGGTTGTGAAGCTGGTTACCAAGGATGGGTTTATGGGTGTTTTGAGAGGCGTTAGGGACCAGACTTGTTGGGCAAAATGGCAATTGAAAAAGAGGTGTTCGGCAGTTTCTAGGTCTCCGCAGTGGACACAACAAGCATTGTCCGGGAGACCTCTACTGAGAAGGTTATCTCCAAGTGGTAGAGCTTTTAGGACTATTTTCCAGAGGAAGACCTTCATCTTTGGGGAGAATTTGCCTGTCCAAATGTCTCCATTCCAGTTGATCTGTTCTGATGATCTTCCGATACTGTCTTCTCTCATTTCCAGGGAGGTGTGGTAGCCAGTTTTGACTGAATAGGCACCAGACTTGGTTGGAAGCCAAATGTAGGAATCGTGAGCTCCTTTCCTGCTTGGTTTGATCTGAAGTATCTCCGAGCTATGGTGAGGTAAGATATCCTTGATTTTACTTTGATTCCAATCATGACCATTAGTTGTCAATAGGTCTGAGACCATTAGGTCCTTATGATGACAGGAAGGGGGACCAAAGGGGCATGTCGGGTTTGAAAGTGACAACCAAGGATCATTCCAAAGTGACGTTGAGAGACCATTGCCAATGGCTTTCCCCAGCTTCTTCAAATGGAGATCTCTGCCTATAATTATTCCTCTCCATCCATGTGAGGTTGAACTAGGCAAAGGGGCTTGTAGAAAATGGTGATCTTTGCAATATTTCCCTTGGAGGACTCGTGCGAGGAGGCATTCGGGGTTGGTAAGGATTCGCCAGCTCAACTTAGCGAGGAAGGCATCATTGTAGCTCTGGATGTCGCGGAAGCCCAAGCCTCCATCTCTTTTTGATCTTGTAAGTTTATCCCAAGAGAGCCAACACATTTTCCTTTCTCCTATTTTTGTATCCCACCAGAATCGAGTCAATGCAGATTGTATTCTTTTGCATAATCCAGCAGGTAATTTGAAGCAGGACATGGAGTAAGTGGGCATGGCCGATAGTACCGACTTGAGCATTGTGAGCTTTCCAGCGCTTGAGAGGAAGCGAGATGAGTATTTGACTGATCGTTGGTGAATACGGTCGACAATCAAGGAAAAGAGATCTTTCTTTTTCCTTCCAAAGCTTTCGGGTAAGCCTAGGTACTTCCCTTGTCCTCCTTCCTTCTCAATGCCTAGTGTCTTCTTTACTCTCTCTCGTATATCTCCTGGTGTTTTACTGGAGAAAGATATAGAGGATTTGTGAGCATTTATCATTTGTCCAGAGGCTTTTTCGTACTTCTGTAGTATCAAGGTCAAGGATTCACAACTTTGCTGGTTTGTTTTGCAGAAAAACATAGTATCGTCGGCAAAGAGGAGGTGGTTTAGGCGTGGGCTTCCTCGAGATACTTGGATGCCTAAGAGTTTGCCATTATCTTGTGCGTTTCTACATAGTCCAGAGAGGACTTCTCCACAAATGATAAAGATGTAGGGAGAGAGTGGATCGCCTTGTCTGATTCCGCGTTGGGGTTGGACTGAACCTTGAGCTGCGCCATTGACTAGGAAGGAGAATGAGACGGTTGAGATGCATTGGAGTATCATATTTATCCATTTGGCGTGAAAACCTAGTCTTTCTAGGACTGCAACGATGAAGCTCCACTCCAGCCTATCATAGGCTTTGCTCATGTCGGTTTTAACTGCCATGGAGCAATGCTTTGTAGCTCTCGATCCCTTAAGGTAATGTAAGACTTCGTGTGTGATTAAGACGTTATCAGAGATAGCTCTTCCTTTGACATACGCTGTTTGTGTTTCCGAAATGATAGATGGGAGGATTGGCTGGAGTCGGCTCGTCAAGATCTTGGAGATGATTTTATAGAAGACGTTGCAGAGGGCTATGGGGCGATACTCCGCAACTGTCTTGGGGCTGGGGACTTTGGGGATAAGCCTGATGTGGGTGCTATTGATGGATCTTGGCACCACTCCTGAGGTGAAGATCTCTTTAATCTCCTCCGTGATTTTGTCTTTTATGGTTGATCAATTGGATTGGAAAAAGCTTGCAGAGAAGCCATCCGGTCCTGGGGCCTTGTCGGGGTGAATGGAGAATAAGGCTGATCGTATTTCCTCTGTGGTTGGTATGGCTATCAGAGCTTCATTGGTTTCAGGGGAGATATTTGGTTTTAGAGCTTGGGCTACTGTTTCAACGCAGCTGATTGACTTTGTAACAAAGAGGTCTTGGAAATATGAGTTTATTACTTGGACAATCTCTTCCTCTTCATAAACATGTAACCCGTCTTTGTTTTCTAGAATAGAGAAACGATTGATGGCTCTTCTTCCTCTCGTGATTGCGTGAAAATAGCCTGAGTTTTTATCCCCTAGGGTTAGCCATAGTGTTCTACTTCTTTGACGCCAGTCATGAGTCATCTAAAGGCCAACAACGACGAGTTTTCTCCAACTACGTCAATCTGGAAAACAAACCCCTTCACTATTACTGTATTACAGAAAGTTTCCCCCAGATTTTACATTTTGCCGTCTAATACTAGTTCCAAACAAACCCATCATTATTCCAAATCTTTGATTTTTAATATCTCAATCGAATTATTTGTACAATAGCACAGCAAGAGTGACGTGCGGGAGAAGCAAGAGTGACAGATACGTTCATCCTCTGTAACTTTTGGAGGAGAAAAGTTTCCATTGGGCTTTCTGACTTGAAAAGTATGAAAGGGACAAATGGTAAAATCAAAATCACCAAAAGCATATAGCACTATTCCAGATAACGACATACTATATAGATCAATAGGTTAAGACTTAACCCGATACATTAACTATGGAGTCTATAATTCAAGCATTCGTATTGTCACATGTTGTGATTTATCATTTACGTAGGACAAATTTTCTGTATGCATTTTCAATTTAACATACCAAAGACATTTATTATGAAGCCATAAAATAGAAAATAACATTTGGAGACCACACACAGTCACATATGCTTCACAAACACTTAAAAGAGAGGATGGTATTCATCTGGCGACTGTTTTGGGGCTTGTTCCGACCAAACTCTTACATGAACCACTTGTATTTGTGTGAAGAGAAGATATGTCCAATTACCAATCCGCAGAACACACCAGGTACATAAGCTACCGCTGCTGCTATCCAACTAATCACTTGTTCTTTTGGCTCCGACAAATCCTCTGATTCTTGTGGTGTAGGATTTAAGATATGATGAGTTTCTCCACATATATCTTCGAGGCCGTAGAGTCTGGGGTTGTCCATGAACACTGAACAAGGCTGCACTCGAACCTGCCCGCCTCGTGGGATTGGACCTTCGAGATTGTTATGTGAGAAGTTCATGACTGCCAAAAAGGAGAGGCTGCCAAGATCTTGAGGAATCTGACCAGACAGCTGATTCCGGGAAAGGTCTAACGATTCTAGACCTGTCAGATTTGCCAAAGATTGAGGTATATTGCTTGTGAATGCGTTACCTGACAAGTTGAGAAGACGTAGTTTATTCAACAATCCAATGGAATCAGGGATCATTCCATGAAACTTGTTTCTGGAAAAGTCAATCGCTCTCAAGTCATTTTGGATCCCCTCAAATTTCGTGTCGACTCCTTTATTCACCATTTCCATCGACATACGGTTTAAATAAATATCTGCCATGTACCCACCAGCTTCTTCTGTTAATTCTGTCATTTCACGCCAGTTGGAAAAGTAGAAAGCTGGCAAAGTTCCAGTGAAGTGGTTATGCGATATATCAATGACTTTTAAGCTTTGAAAGCCAATGTAGACATGGGGACGATACACGGGCCCGTAGAATTCATTTGATCGTAGGATCATGACATGCAATGACGGCAGAGAACTCAACCAAGATGGAAACGTGTCCTTGATTTTGTTGCTTTCCACATTCAAAAGCTCCAAAAAGGTGCAGTTGATCAATGATTTCGGAAGTTTTCCCTCCAACTGGTTGTTGCTGACGTCAACTGACTCTAACCCCATGGTGTTGGCAAATAAATCTGGAGGAATAATTCCACTGAGATTGTTGTTTTTCAAATTCAGCACTATGAGATTAACAAAGATACTCTTCAAACATTGAGGGATTGATCCGGTGAAGCTATTGTTGGAAAAATTCAAGAGTCGTAACGATCTAAGCTTACAGATCCAATGTGGTAATGGTCCTTGGAAAGAATTTGAACTAAGATCCAACACCTCTATATTTATTAAATCAAAAGTTTCAAATGTTTTTCCAAAACTGCTGAAAGAATTCTGAGAAAGCATCAACTCTGACAAACCCCCAAACCAACCCGGTATTTCCCCATTCAACTTATTGTTGGAAAGATCAAAATACTCGATATTGACTAAATTTGATCTTGGAATTTGCCCAATGAAATTGTTGTGGCTTAGATCGAGATAAACAAGGTTGACCAACTTTGATAAAAATATGGGGATTGGACCAGTGAAATTGTTGTGACTTAGAAATAGTCTTTCGAGATTGGAAAAAATTGATATGGATTTGGGGATAGGGCCCTCTAGTTTGTTTTGATAAAGGTGTAAAGTTTGAAGCTTAGAAGAGGAAGATGCATTCCTAAATTCGATAGGCCCCTTTAACTTGTTTCCCCACAAACTAACCCATCTTAAAGAAGGAATCATGAATAAGGACGTAGGAAAAGTCCCGGAAAATGAGTTTCCTCCCACATCAAAATATTCTAAGTTGTGGAATTGACTCATGTCAAATGGAAGAGGGAAATTCTCACCCGTGAAATTATTGAGTGAGATGTCTAAATGGGACAGGTTTGTTAAGTTGGCAAATGAAACAGGAATATTTCCAGTGAACTTGTTTTTGCTAAGATCTAGGTGTCTTAGTTTGGTTAGATTTCGGACTGAAGCTGGAAATTCACCTACTAGATAATTACCCTTAAGGTCAAGATGTGTGAGATGAGAAAGGTTTCCTAATGAAGAAAGAATCTCTCCATAGAGATGGCATTCCCTAAGGGTTAGGTTACGAAGATGATGGAGTTTGAAAATACCACTATATGGTTTCAAAGAGTTATTGAGAGGGATGAAACTAAGGTCAAGTGAAATCACCTCGCCAGATATATCAGCGCATGTGACGCCCTCCCAAGAACAGCAGTCGTTACTCTGATCCATGAACTTAATGATTGGGACTCGAGTTCATTTATCGGAAACTCGTGTTTGAAATCCATAAGAGCATCCCTCTGGTCATGACGACAATAGGGGAGCACAGGAGGAGAAGCAAAAGTGTGTAGAACGAAGGAAACCAAGAAGAAGAAATACAAGGTAACAACATTACCAGGAAAGCAATTAGATTGGCTTGGAATCGTCATTACTCTTCTTTTTTTACTCTTTCTTTTGTGTTTGTGGGGAAGTGATATGTTTATGCAGCTCTATTTAAAGAGAAAACAAAAACTCAATTTATCAAGTGTTGCGTAAGTCGTCGGATAAGGTTAATATATCTTTTTGTCTTTCAGTGATTTGCGCCACTTGTCTCAGAATTTTCCACATAGTCCCTTACGAAATAATTCAAATTATACATACTGTATTAATAAGATTTGATAATTTGGTAAAATAATAATTTTCTTTTTGAAAATTCTGTATAAATTGTTTTTTAATAACTTAAGGTAAATCCTAAATCTAGGGGGATCCAGACTAATCATTGGAAAAGGTGCAATACACATACACTATATACTCTTTATGGGTGTTCAAATGGACGGAAAGTAAAGATCCATATCCATATTACTAAATGTAATAAATCTAGTAATTTTACGCTTAAGGGAATCGATCCATGGTTTATACCATGTAAATATATAGTCTCAAACATATATAACTAAGTACATGTAAATTTAATGAAATATAAACTGAATTTAATCTTAATCTCATATCCTAAGTTTCACAACTGTTTTTTTTTTCATATTGTGCCCCAAAGCTTCACTATTCCAAATCTTATGTCGTTAATTTCTCAACCTAATTTTTTGTAGCATAGCACATCAAGATCGACGTGTGTGCATGAGAAGCAAGTGTTAGATGTTGGAACTCAATTGTCAAAATTGAAGTTCGTTTGAATGAGAAATACTTGTCCAAAGTTTGTTGCTAAAAATGCTCAAAATGGACTAGTGGATATTATGGAAAAGTGGTAACAAGGTTAGAGACCTTGGGAAAATTAGAGAGAAATATGAACCACACTAAATCACATGTGCGCACACCGAGATGAGTCGGAACAGACTCGGGCTCGGGTTTGGGTTTAGGTGTGGGTTTGGGATTAAACGGGCCTCGGTCCAGTAATCCATCCTTTTATATCAAGTTTTTATTTGTGTAACTGATCACTACATAAATTTTAATTTGATAAAAGGTGAACAATTCTCAGAATTAATAGAGAATGAATCTTGGTCAACAAAAAATAATTCTCCTAAAGAATAAGTTTTGGTCAAGAAGTTGAAAAATCTCTCTTAAAGTTTTGTGATTAATTTCATGGTTAATGCCATAATTAATACAATAACTAAATCTCACTATGACCAAAAACGTTTTTGGCTTGTATAAAAGTGAGACTAATGTCTCGTGGTCTCATTGATTCATATAGACAACAATTCCACATCCCCTTCATCTCTTTCTTTCTTTTATTTTCCTCTTGTTTTTTCCTATGAGAGTATAACACAGAAAACATGGTTCGCAAGCTTATGATTTGAGTGATGCAAATCATAAGAAGTATGCAGTTGTATCTTGGGATTCGGAACGCCATGCAACCGTCACACACTACAGGGCGTTTACAGAATTAAGGAAAAAGATAATATCTTGCCTCTGCAAATCTGTTTTTTCCTAAATTCTTATTCTTGGTATCATCTTTATATTATGTTTATATATTTATTCATATATTTTACTTTACAAATATCAGTTTGCCCTATTGTAGAATTTGTGTTCCTACATTAGAAACGTCCATCCTCTGTGACAAAAGTTTCCTTTTTGACTTGGAAAGTTTTGGTAGGAAAGACTCAAATCGACGTGAATTATGGTTTGCATGAGAGAGACAAATGATATCATCTAAACGTAATATCAATCCCATCATATCCCCTCTCGTCATTTCTCATCCAGAATTCTTATTCCATATTGAAATACATTCTCATATTATAACAGTCTACAAATTATAATAGTTTGATTTTTTCCGTCAAATTTACTCACAACAACAAAAAAATCGATCGAAAACAATAATGTAGCCAAACAACAAGAGTGACGTGTGTCAGAAGTAAGCGTGTTAGAGATTTTTCATCTTCTGTGATTTATTAGGAGAATAAAAGTTTCCATTGGGCTTTTTGACGTGGAAAGTTTTGGTAAGTAAGACTTAAAACGACGTGAAACCAGACTAAATCACCAAAAGCACATAAAGAAAAAAAAAAAAAGATCTAACTATGGAGTCTATAATTCAAACATTCGTAGGAGGAAGTTTCTGTATGCATTTTCAATTTAAGATACCAAAGGAAATAAATCTTACAAAACCATAAAACAGAAAATTACATTTGTATAACACACACATGATTCACAAACACTTAAAGAGAGGATGGTGTTCATCTGGCGACTCTTTTGGGCTTGTTTCGACCAAAGTTTGACATGAACTATTAGATTGATGAGAGTTTACGATTGGAAGAATATTGTATTGACTCTCATGATCATAAGCTTTACGATACATTGATTTATATAGTGAAAGGATTTCCTAAACTAAGAGATATACAAATATCTAAACAAGTGAATACAATATATTTACTAATAATAACATAATCATCTAGATCCTTCTATACGCCCCCTCAAACTCAAGGCGGTTATGGAGATGTGAAAATAACGGCTTGAGATTGACAATACAGTGGATCGGATTGTGCAAAGCATCTTTGTTCTTTGATATTATGTTGGATGGGCTTTGACATAAAGAGACGACCATGACGAGTGGAAAGGGGATGGGAGTCATGTGAACCACAAAGATGGTGAATGACGAGATGGTGACTTCAAGATCTCATGACGAGCTGTTTTTTTTCTTTTCTTTTATAAAAAAATAAATCGAGGACGATAACTGTGAAGAAGTGTGATGGGTTGGAAATTCAGAAAAATGAAACCATTTTTTTTTTTCAATAAAAAGAAAAAAATAGAAATAGAGAATAAGATTAGCAAGAGAAGAAGAAAACAGAAAAACCATTATTATTATTATATTTTTTTTTAAATGAGAGAGATGATTCAGAGGTCTATGAAGACTTGAATAAGAAATACAATGGCTTAGATTCAGAGGTTCATGATGAACTTGAATAGAGAAGCTCTAGGCTTAAAACATAAAATAAAAAGAATGAATAAGAGAGAAAGAGTTTGATTCAGAGGTCCATGATAGACTTGAATGAAAGAAGCACATGGCTTAGAAAAAGATGAAGAAAAGAGAGTTTGATTGCTAGATCAAAACTCTTGAGCATAATCTGCTCTTATACCATATTAGATTGATGAGAGTTTATGATTGGAAGAATATTGTATTGACTCTCATGATCATAAGCTTTACGATACATTGATTTATATAGTGAAAGGATTTCCTAAACTAAGAGATATACAAATATCTAAATAGTTAATACAATATATTTACTAATAATAACATAATCATCTAGATCCTTCTATATGAACCACTTGTGTTTGAGCGAACATAAGATATATCCAATCACCACTAATCTGCACCAGGTCCGTAGGCAATCGGCCAATCGCTGCTGCTATCCAAGTATCCAACTAATCACTTGTTCTTCTGACTCCGACAAATCCTCTGCTTCTTGTGGTGTACGATTCGGGACATGATGAGTTTCTCCACATACATCTTCGAGACCGTAGAGCTTAAGGTTTCCCACGAACACTGAACAATTATGCCTTTGAAACTGTGTGCCTCGTGGTATTGGACCTTGGAGATTTTTGTGGGAGAAGTTCATGACTGAAAAAAAGGAGAGGCTGCCAAGATCTCTAGGAATCTGACCAGAAAGCTGATTCCGGGATAGGTCTAACGACTCGAGATTTGTCAGATTTGCCAAAGATTGAGGTATATTGCTTGTGAATGTGTTACCTGACAGGTTGAGGAGATGCAATCCGTTCAAAAATCCAATGGAGTTACGGATCTTTCCATGATTTTTTTTTGCTGAAAAGTCAATAGCTCTGAAGTCATTTTGGATCAGCTCAAATATCATTTCGACTCCTTTATTCACCATTTCCATCGAACTACGGTAGAAATTAATATACAGGGGATTTCTTATATACATTTTGCCATCAAAATATTGGGGAGATGTGATCATGCCACGCCAGTTCGAAAAACATAAAGGTGGCAAAGTTTGAGATAAACGAGGTTGACCAACTTTGATATATAGGGATTGGGCTAGTGAAATTGTTGTCACTAAGATTTAAAATTTCAAGATTGGAAAATTTTGATATGCTTATGGGGATAGGACCATCGAGTTTGTCTCTTTTCAAAATGTATAATTAGAAAATTAAAAGAAAAATGATGACACACAACAACATTTTGACAAACCGGTTTTATCACAAAGATTCGAAGGCGAAGTGCAAGGGGGGTGTAAAATCAATTTGGTCCTAAACTGAAGATATTCAATTTGCTTGACGTTGAAATCAAATCGTAGTAAACTATATTAAGTCGTATAAACTAAATTGTCGATTGTGTGTGCGTTGTGGTTTGGTTTTAAGAGGGAATCATAATGTTAATGACGTTATCTTAGGATTCTCTATTTTGTATTTTCCAATGTTATTTATAACCCTATAAACTCGACTGTACAAAATGGAATGCAAAAATCCTATGAAATAGAACGAACTTCACTGCTTTCTTAAAGAATGCGATCATTGGCTTCTTGTGACAATGGTTCTCGCAGTATGTTAACATGCATATAGCGCTCTAACATTTATATATTTTAAGAATCTTATATAGATTGAATTAAGGGGTTATGTAAGTAGGCGCTTTATTAAACATTTATGCTAATCGTACATGTAATATACAGTACTAGAAAGTAGAAACTAATTAACAATTTCATTAACAAATCACGTTAACAACCTTGTTAATAAAACACAAGGATTAGCACATTAACAAATTCGTTAAAATTAAAGGTCTTGTTATCGATCAAGAGTCAAGACTATTACTAAGTCTGAGGCTCGGACCAGTATTTTCGTAGACCTAGTGCAATAGCTCCAATTTTGCAAGAATAAACAACAGAAATTGCAAATAAGACCTTAAAGTTTTGAAAAGGCACATAAATTTTCAAAAAACAAATTTGTCGTGGGTATGCCTCAGTCTGAGTATGCAACATTTAGATATGTTGTAGTAAATTATGAATCCTAAATAGGATGCAGTAAACTTTTAACTCCTAATTCTTATGACGTGTTTTAGTAAATTATTAATACTAAAAGAATTTATTCTAAAAATATTTTAAACTTTTTGTTTAACTATTTCAGTAATAACTAAGAAGTTTACTAATTCATTAGAAAACAAATTTACTTAATTCCACCATTTTCAGCCAGCTTCGTCTATTACCATTTAGATCTTAAATTGTTTCTAGAAATCATTAACAAATTTAGATAGACTCAAATATATTGATATTACTAGGGGGTGACCCACGCTTCGTCAGGAATTTATATTGTTATGTTAGTTTTCTAATTTTTCCGCAAATTTAATATTTTTTGCAAAAATATTATACACAGATTAGTTAAATATAATTAGAGTTAGGGAAAATTTTAGCACCGTCTTGTTTCATCTCGTTCCATATCGTTCATATTCATCATCTACGTTCTTTTCCATCCTATCTGTCATGTATCTCCCTTCCCGTCCAATCTCATCCTATCACATTATGTTTCTTTCCATTTTGAAATATCCGATTCCATTTTTTCTCATCCCGTTCCCTATATATAATCAGGGATTTAGGGGTAGGTATAATTATGTCCCATTCCGTTCCTTTTTCATCTTGTCTCGTTTTTCCCCGTCCCGTTCATCATGTCCGCCCATCCAGTCTCATTCTATCCTATTATGTTCCTTTCCATTTTGTTATGTCTCTGTCTAATCTCTAAATATAAATAAGGGTAGGTAGAATTCCCGCCCGTCCAATCCTGTCACATTTTGTTTCTTTTCATTCCGTCCTGTCCAACCTTTCCGTCTTATCCTGTCTCATCATGTTCTTTTCGTTTTTTCTCGTTCCGCTCCTAAATATAATTAGAGATAGGCTTGTCTTGTTATATGTCGTTCTTTTCCGTTCTTTTAGATATCGTCTCGTCCCATAATATAATAAGAAGTAAGCAAAATTATCTTTTTCACGGGTTCTAATTTTTTTCCGTCTCTTCATGTTAGATCTCGTCTCATTTCATCCCAAAATATTTTAAAAAAATCTGTGTTCTTTCTATAATATTTTTCTATTATAATTGTTACTAAATATTAGTTTTGTAAATTATACATAACATTTCTCTCTTTTTTCTAAATGACTTTTCATATTCAGACTATTATAGTAATAAATGATAAAACTAAAATAAAAAGAAAATATCATATAATAATTTGATATGCTGAGGTGTCACAATATTAGAGTTCCTCTCTACTAACGTGCCAGCACCAAAAGAGAGAAAACTCTACTATATATATCAATATATTTGACCCTAAAATATATAACATAAAGTTAAGTTATATATTTAAGTTATATATTTTCTAGAAAACAAAATCTTGCTCTATTTAAGTTTTGAAGATTCTGTTTCAAGATTTGGATTATATACTTAATATAGAGTCAAATAGATTGGTCATAATTAATTGATTTTCAGAAAACTTTCATGTATAAGAATGACTAGTCCTCTTCCTTTCAAAAATCTACTTTCTTGTGTAAGAGTTATCATCTATATAAAAAAATCTTGTTGAAAGAATCTATTACAAATAAAAATTTGAGAATAACTATTTAGATGATTCTAAAATGGGCATATTCTACACACTTTTAAGGATCTACGACAGACATGTGGTCGTGGTTTCACGTGCACCAAATTATCTTTGACACGTGAAACCACAACAAACCACCCGATTTGCACATGCTGAAAAAACTTGTGTAAGTTTGCATCTAATCTTTATTCCTCTTTATACCAAACAACCGATCACGATTCAAAATTACTAACCTAATCATATTATGGGATTCTTCTAAATCACACCATCTTAATTTTGATAATTTCTATGATATTTCTTCTATCACACTCTTAATTTTTGATGATTTCTTCACACATTTTTAGAATAAAGATAGCTTATGACTGAATTTTAAATATTTTTTGGACTGTATTTAGAATTTTGGGGTAGATTTGTGAAAACAAAGTAAATTCCGGAACAATTTGTTATTTATATATATTTTTTAATATAAATGAGAGAGAAACCAGTAGTGGAGATGCTGCCATGCTAGTTATTTTTTTTTTCCTTTAGAAAAAGATTGATTGGAATTTTGTTGATTTGATATAATATATAAATCGTGTGCTACTAATGAACCTGTTATTTTACATAGGGTTTTTTCGCACACTGCAAAGCTGCAGAAGATGAATAGTATGGAACTGTGAAACATCCTTAGATAGTGCACATGCATCCCAATATTCAGACTTATCTCAGGTTAATTAATTCTCACTCTTCATAAACCAATAATATCTGATTAAGGGCATAACTGGTATTTTGAAGAATTGCTGAATCTAGTGGAATGTAGCTGAATACTATTCATGAGTTACCAGTTACTACTTGATGAATTCAGCTGAATTTCATAAAAAGACAAAATTTGTAGAATTTTTCTTTTTGTTATATAATAATTGAAGATTTTAAATAAAAAATGAAAAACAAAACAACACAGCTCTTTACTTCAATTCAGCTTGAAAATAGAATAAAGTCACTAAAATATAAAAATTCCAGAATTTTTTTTTTTGTTTTTTTGTAACATTTCACTTACTTCATGAATATAGTTCTTTTATTAATTTTAATTTTAGAAATGAAATTCCAGTTACATATATTAATATCACAACAAAAACTTTGCATCATAGGGATATTTTATTATTATTATGTCATACAGTACAAAACATATGAATATTGTTAGTGAATACTAATTAGATAAAAAATATCAATTTTACATTCAAAATATTTTTAAAAAGTAATTTGAATAACATAAATAGCATGTAAAATCTATGTAATTTGGATAAATAATCTTACTATTTGAACTATTATAATTCAAATTCGTGGGACAAAATTTTGGATATCTATAATTTTTTTTTTTAAATAGAGGAATAATTTTCAATTAATAGTTTTTATATAATTGAAAAACCTTTAAACTTTCATAGAAACAGTTTTCGTAGTTGCATATGACTATTATTTTTAAATTTCTTGGCTAAAAATCTTATTTAATTAAAAATCAAACATTTTTTTATTTTTAAATGCTTTAATTGTAAAAAAAAGTATTGTTGGTTTGTTAAAATAAATTTTGTTTTAATACGGTTAAACAGATATATTTACAATTTAATACCAACATTTTTTTTGAATTTTCAAGTTTAAATATTTTATAGGATAAATTTATGAAACAAATATTTTTGTTTTCAAAAAAGTTTGATTATTCCGCATTCCGCATTCAGCAACATTCAGGAGTTACCATTCATATCACTAACTAATCAATCAAATTCTGCAACTATTCATCATTTAATTCAGCCAGATTCCGCATTCAGCAACATTCAGCGGTTACCATTTAGACCATAATTATGAGATAGCATAAACAGTAAAATAATAATATAAACCATGAATACGTGAAACGATGTTATACCATCCTTATTTCACCTTCCTTCGGGATTTCTATCTGGATTCCGGCCACCACCTTTTATTTCAAATCCTCGACTGCTTAATCTTCTGCTGCATCGTTAAGGTGTTTTCACCGGTGAGCTCCTCTGCCTATTCCCGTCTCACCGAGATGTTTCCATCGTTCCTCCATCAATCCGCCTCAGATCTGTCTTCATTCACTTGGTTCTCCAACCAGCCGCTGTTAGATGGTCCTGTTCCCTCACACCGAAGCTATCGCCAACTCTTCCTCCACATTAGTCATCGATCTTCTCAGCTGTGTGTTTAGGTTGTGCTAGTGTTGATCAGTCACCTTCCCAAGTTCTACCAGTTATTAAGTTGCCAATAGAAACTTTGATCAGCTCATATTCAAATCTCTAGACCCTGACCATGAGGGTCCGTTCTTTTCAAATTTTTCCACTAAGAAGATAGATTTTCTTTCAACTTCCACTTTCCTCCACGTAAATTATTTATCAAAATTTTCCACGTCGATTTTCTTCGTTTTCAAAGTCGATAAAATGTACCATCTCCCAAACAGAATTGTTATTTTAGGTAGCGATTTTAATGGAACCATAGAATGCAACAAGTTTAGTTTCGAGGAGCCTAAGTGGTATGAGCTGTCTTTCAATACCACAAGTTTCCAGCTTTACGGTGAATGTTATGTTGATGCATCTCGTTGGAGCTGGATTGTGCCACCCTCATCATAAGCCATGTCTATTTAAGATTAGCCCATCTGACAAACTGACAAAACCCTAGCGGTTTGTCTAAAAAGGAACAAAGTCGGCTAGAAAAAAGGAATCCTCCATGCAAAAAAGGAAAATCTCTCCAAAAAGGAAAGATAAGACCAAAAAATGCAACAACTAAGGTTTTGAAGATTCCAATTTCCACGTTTTCACTTTAAAAATATGATTCTGCTATTTTTTACCGCTCACATTATTCATCAATTTTACACGTTTTCACATATTTGAAAAATGATTCCGCTATATAGAACTATCGTACTTGTTGAAAATATAACTAGAAAAAATAAAACGTGATTAATATATATTTTTTTTGAACAACTCGTGATTAATATACTAAAACTAGCTTTTCTGCGTTTATAACTTTTGATAAAAAAAATTGTATTCTGTCCAGTTTATTCTGCAAACACTTATTCACTTATTCCGTTATTTTGCTATTCTTCTGACATAGCAATCAGACCCTAAGAAGTATGGACCGTCTTTCAAATTCAGTAGTCAATTTACTGCTTTCCAGCTCTACGTCAGGTGCTTTGAATCTCTTTTATTGTTTAACTATCTTTTATAAAAGGATCTCTCTTAAGTTCGCTTTCATTTACGTTCAATAGAAAAACAAACCTCTCATTCATAATTGTCTACTATCATTTGATACTCTTAGCTTTAACACCATCTTCCCTGGTTTCTCCGTGTTCTGCAAGTAAAACATTCTTGCAATCACCGGAAAACTTTGGTAACCCTTCTAAACCTTGTAATTAAAGTGGAGGAAGTTTATACATTTTTTTTAGATTACCATATCACAACCAACAAAAAAAAAGCAGAAACTCTTTAGGTTATTACCATTAGAGTTAGATCTATTTCTGCGAGCCTCTTTCTTCTTGTCTCGTTTGCTCTTCACCTCGTGAAAAGTATTTGAAACTTTTTAAACGAAGCAGCATTATAAGAAACTGAAATTGAACTAGCAGATGTATAAAAACACATTCAATTGATTACACAACCAAAAACAAAGAGAAAACTCATGAGTTTTAATTTTTGTTTGGATAACTAGTAACAATAAAGATTCAACAATATCTAAAACAACGTTACTATTTCAAATAATATAAGGGGAAAAAAAGCTCAAGTTTTGACATTTTCTTACAGAAGTTTTAACTTTTTAACATGTAATACGAAATTCTTCAAAAGCTTAAGAGAATCTCTTGAAAAGTCTTTTAAAGTTTTTGATTTTATATTGGAGACTTTTTGGATATTATATTTCAAGCAAATTAGAAACTAAAACCTCCCCCAAAAAATTACAAAAAAATAATATGTAAATTTGAAGAAATAAGCAAAACCTTGAAAAAGAGACGATTAACAGTTTCGTCAGGATCCATATCGCACTCCACAAGCATCACATAGATCTCTAAGTCAGAACAATTCACGATCTCCTTCAAACTCTCAACAACCTTTCTCGAAGACGCCGAATATCGCATTTGCGTTACTAACGTTGCTTCTATCGCCCATTTTTCTCTCTTCTTTCCGGATTAGGGAAAAAAGACAAATCAGATCTGAGGAAAACTTCTATGATTCGCGATTTCTTTTTGCTTCCTTTGAGCATAAGTAGAATAAAAAGAAGATTTTTATTTCCTCATATAAAGGAAACCAAAAAGAAATCGCGAGCGGTAAAAGTTTTCCTCATATCTGATTTGTCTTTTTTCCCTAATCCAGAAAGAAAGAGAGAAAAATGGGCGATAGAAGCGACGTTAGTAACGCAAATGCAGATATTCCGGCGTCTTCGAGAAAGGTTGTTGAGAGTTTGTTCTGACTTAGAAGATCTATGCATGCTTGTGGAGTGCGTTATGGATCGTGACGAAACTGTTAATCGTTTCCTTTTTCAAGGTTTTGCTTATTTCTTCAAATTTATTATTTTTTGTAATTTTTTTGGGGAGGTTTTAGTTTCGAATTTGCTTAAATATAATATCCAAAAAATCTCCAATATAAAATCAAAAAATTTAAAAGACTTTTCGAGAGATTCTCTTAAGCTTTTGAAGAATTTCTTATTAATGTTAAAGTTTTTTAAGAAAATGTCAAAACTTGAGTTTTTCCCCTTTATTATTTGAAATAGTAAAGTTTTTTTGGATTTTGTTGAATCTTTATTGTTACACGTTATCGAAAAGAAAAAAAACCCATGAGTTTTCTCTCTTTTTTTGGTTGTGAAGCAATTGAATATGTGTTTTTATACATCTACTAGTTCAATTTCAGTTTCTTATAATTCTGCTTCGTTCAAAAAAATTTCAGATACTTTTCACGTGGTGAAGAGCAAACGTACAAGAAGAAAGAGGCTCGCAGAAATAGATCTAACTCTAATGGTAATAAGCTAAAGAGTTTCTGCTTTTTTTGTTGTTGGTTGTGATATGGTAATCTACAAAATGTATTAACTTGTTGTTATGTATATTGCTTTTAGGCATAACGAGTTAAGCGGAAGAAGGAAATTCTCACCCGTGAATTGATTGTATGCAATATCTAAATGGGATAGTTTCGTTAAGTTGGCAAATGAAAAAAAGAATATTTCCACTTAACTCGTTATGCCTAAAATTTAGGTCTCTCAGTTGGGTTAGGTTTCCGATTGAAGCCGGAAATTCACCTACTAAATTCATTATACGAAAGGTCAAGATGTGTGACATGAGAAAGGTTTCCTAACCAAGAAGGAATCTCTGTATATATAGAGATCGCAAAATGAAAGAGTTAGGTTACGAAGATGATGGAGTTTGAAAAGACCTAAGGTAAAGTGAAATCACCTCGCCAGATTTATCTTCACATGTGACGCCCTCCCAAGAACAGCAATCTTTACTCTTGTTCCATGAACTTAAAGATGTATCATGATCTTCAAATGAATCAGATTCATTTACCGGAAACTCGTGTTTGAACTCGAGAAGAGCATCCCTCTGGTCATGATGGCAACAGTGGAGCATAGGAGGAGAAGCAAGAGTTCTAGAACGAAGGAAACCAAGAAGACGAAATACACGGTAACAACAATACCATAAAAGCAATTGTGTGGAATCGTCATTACTCTTTATCTCTTTATATTTCTTCTTCTCTCTTCTGTGTTTGTCTGGAAGTAATAGTGTTTTTTTTTATATATATACGATAATGGCTTATGAAGCTCTTTTTTAAGAGACAGTAATATGTTTTTACGATAATGGCTTATGTAGCTCTTTCTATATGAAAACTCAATTTTTCTTGACTTTGGCAAGTCTTACGTCAAGTCAAGTCGTCGGATAACGTTTATCTTGTCAAGTCTTGCAATGATTTGTGCCACTTGTCTCCAAACTTTCCACATATAGACTAACTCAAGTCGTCGGATTCGGTTGACTGATTGTTGACTCTTAAGTCTCTTACCAGTCAAATCCCACTGCAATGAACAAAGACACAACAACTGTCTCAAATTCAAACTACAGTAAGACACACGACAAACATGGTGCTCTTCCGGTAATGCTGTCACTCTCGGCAACCAATTCGAGCTTCTTGGATCTGCTACAGACATGTGCACCTAAGGGAATTCTACGCCTTCGCTAGGGTTTTACTCTTTTCATATATAAAGAACATTGTTGTAATCAGAAAAGATTAAGAGTGCAAGTTGCAATCTTTTGAGTATTCATCTTCTTTGAGGCATTGGCTTGAATTCTCGTTACCAAGAAAGTACAAATGAATTATGGTGGGCTTAATTATGTTTTAGTATTTTTAGATAAAATAAGTCATCCCTACGTAACGAACTCCACAATACAAAGCATGGAACCAATTAAACCAGCCTGTATAACCTTTTTAGCACGTAAATTAAACAAAAAAACATGTATAGTATTAGAAAGAGCGAATGGGAAGCAAGAGTCAACAGTTTAAAGATTTTCATTGAAGATTTTACCAAAAATAAAAAATAAAAGATTTATGTGAAGGTTACATATGCATGGCTCTTGAGGTTAATCTCTGGACGAATTCACACTAATAAACTTTTTAATTTGTCAAAAACAAGAACAAACATAACCTCTGTTTTCTTTAATTTGTACCTTTTCTGGCTATATCATTTGCTGCATTTTCAAGTAGTCTCTCACCGCTCATGTAATAAATACTAAACACTGTTTGTTTTCATTCCTATTTCCCAATCCAACTTATAATCGTTTTTTTTTTTTTTCCATTTGAGTAAAAAAATTGCAATTCAGTGATAGTATTCACCCAAAGATTTATTTACTTTTTGGATTGCAAAACAAGCCCTTACTGTTCAAATGTTATATCTTTATTTTCCAATTGAATTATTCGTAGTACATAGCACAACAAGAGTGACGTGTGTGAGAAGCAAGCATGTTAGAGATTTTCATCTTCTGTGATATAGGAGAAGAAAAGTTTCATTGGGCTTTTTGACTTGGAAAGTTTTGGGAACGACGTGAAACCAGACTAAATCACCAAAAGCAGATAGCATTATTCCAGAAAACGACATCACACCAAACGTTAAAGAATCTAACTATGGAGACTATAACGAAAAAATAAGCGTCCATCATGTACTCTCCAGCTTCTTTGTTTAACATGGCCATAAGACGCCAGTTGGAGAAAAAGAAAGGTGGCAAAGTTCCATTGAAATTGTTTTGTGATATATCGATGACTTCCAAACTTTGAAACCCTATAGAGACATTGGGATGATACACTGGCCCGTAGAATTCATTTGATCGTAGGATCAAGACGTTTAACGACGGCAGAGAACCCAACCAAGATGGAAACTCGTCCTTAATTCTGTTGCTTTCAACACTCAAAAGCTCCAAAGAAAGGCAGTTGATCAATGATTTTGGAAGTTTTCCCTCCAACTGGTTGCTGCTGACGTCAACTAACAATAAGATGGTTGCATTGACAAATAAATCTGGAGGAAGACTTCCACTGAGATTGTTGTTTTGCATACTTAGCGTTGCGAGACCACCAATTGTATTTCCCAAACATTGAGGGATGGAGCCGGTGAAGCTATTGTTGGACAAATCTAAGAGATACATAGGTCTAATCTTGCAGATCCAATATGGTAATGGTCCTTGAAAGTAATTTGAGCTTAGATCCAAGGAATTGATTTGTGATAAACTTGAAACTTGGAATGATTTTTCAAAACTGCTGAAAGAGTTGCGAGAAAGCCTCAACACGGACACTTGCCCAAACCATCATGGTATTCCATTGAACTTGTCTGAGATGTCTAAATGGGACAGTTTTGTTAACTTGGAAAATGAAGAAGGAAAATTTCCATTGAACTTGTTAGACCTAAGGCTTATGTGCCTTAGTTGGGTTAGGTTTCCGACTGAAGCTAGAACTTCACCTACTAAATCAGAGTTATACGAAAGATTAAGATGTGTGAGATGAGAAAGGTTTCCTAATGAAGAAGGAATCTCTCCATAGAGGTCGCAATAGCTAAGAGTTAGGCTACGAAGAGGATGTAGTTTGAAAAGACCACTATTTGGTTTTAAAGAGTTGTTGAGAGGGATGTAGCTAAGGTTAAGTGAAATCACTTGGCCAGATTTAGCATTGCATATGACACCCCTCCAAAGACAACAATTACTACTCTTGTTCCATGAACTTAAAGATGGATTTGAGTTGGATTCATTTACCGGAAACTCGTGTTTGAAATCCAGAAGAACATCCCTCTGGTCATGGCGGCAATAGTTGAGCTTAGAAGGAGAAGCAAAAGTGTGTAAAACCAATGAAACCAAGAAGAAGAAATACAAGGTAACACCAATCTATCACAATCTATCACAAGCTCGCCAATTCTTGTCAAGAATGTTATTACAGCTGAGGATGGTACTAAATACTCTGCATCATAAATCTTACTTATTGAAAATTTCAAAATCTCAAGAACATTCCCTGATCTTTCGCAGCAAGAATCGCTGTTGAATATGGAGCTGCAGGGATAATAGTTTCCAACCATGGAGCTCGTCAGCTAGATTATGTCCCTGCAACTATAGTGGCCCTCGAAGAGGTTAACCTTTATAAGAAGAAGAAGAATGAAATGGCATGTAACATTGTAACTGATTTACTTGTTTGATTAGGTTGGGAGGCCGAGTTTGTTCTCGCTTGCAGCGAACGGAGAAGCGGGAGTGAGGAAGATGCTGCAAATGCTAAGAGACGAGTTCGAGCTTACAATGGCACTAAGTGGCTGTCGTTCGCTGAGAGAGATCAGTCGAAACCACATCAAGGCCGATTGGGAACTTCCTCATCACCTCCCGGCCAAGATATAAGGAAACTTTATTCACTTTTTTTTTTTTTCAAAGAGAGAAATGGATGTTTGAATTTATGATCCAATAATGTATTTCTTCCATCCAGCTTTATAATCGAAAATCTTCAGTTTGAGTAAAAAAAAAATGCCAATTTAGTGATAGTATCTAAATGTTAATATCAAAAAATTTATTTGCTTTTTACCGTTTTGATATTTCGTTTTTAACAAAACAAAGCCATCAATCACTTTTCAAAATCTCATGAGTTTAAATGAATTATTAGTAGCATAGGACATCAAGAGTGACGTGGGAGAGAAGCAAGCGTGTTAGAGACTATAGAACAACGTGAACTAAATTGTTGTCATGAAATAGACGAATGATAAGATCTAAATCACCAAAAGCATTATTCCAGATAACGACATATACACACCATAGGTCAAGGAATTAATCCATTAATACATTAACTACGCAGTCTATAATTCAATCATTCGTACTGTCTCATAGGTTGTAATTTATGTAGGAAGAAGTTTCTGAATGCATTTTTTTCAATTTAAGATACCAAAGACGTTTACTACAAAACCATAAAACAGAAAATTACATTTGGAGAACACACACATACTAACACACACATATGATTCACAAACACTTCAAGAGAGGATGGTGTTCATCTGGTGGGCTTTTTCCGACCAAAGTTTTACATGAACCACTTGTGTTTGTGTGAACAGAAGATATATCCAATCACCAATCCGCAGAATACACCATGTCCATAGGCTATCGCTGCTGCTATCCAACTAATCACTTGTTCTTTTGGCTCCGACAAATCGAGTTTGTCTCTTTTCAAAATGTATAATTAGAAAATTAAAAAAAAAAAAAATGATGACAAATGACAACATTTTGACGAACCGGTTTTATCACAAAGATTCGAAGGCGAAGTGCAACTGCAAGGGGATTTGCTTGACGTTGAAATCAAATCGTAGTAAACTAAGTCGTATAAACTAAATTGTCGATTGTGTGCGCGTTGTGGTTTGGTTTTAGGAAGGAATCATAATGTTTTAAATTTTAGAAATGACGTTATCTTAGGATTCTTTATTTTGTATTTTCCAATGTTGTTTATAACCTATAAACTCGACTGTACAAAATGGAATGCAAAAATCCTATGAAATAGAACGAACTTGACCGCTTTCTTAAACAATGTGATCATTGGCTTCTTGTGATAATGGTTCTCGCAACATGCATATGACACTCTAACATATATATATACTAGAAATTGACTCGCACTACGCTGCGGGATTTGATGTTGAATAAATTCTATTTGATGTTAGTGAATAGGGCTATTGGAATTTATTTGATGTCAGCTTCAGAAAGCTTTGCAGTGGGATTTTTTTTTATTCTGGTTTATTGTTAAATATATGTATTATAAAATCCATGAAAACTGAAAATAGAAACAATTAAATCAGGAATTGTCTAGAACGTTTTATAATTTGATATTTTTAATTCATTGCATTAGTGACATGATACCATTTGATGTCGCTCCAGAAAGTGACACGATCTTATTTAATCTGTATAAGTTTTTTGCTGCGGAAATTCTTTTATACTATTGTCTTTTATTTAAATATTGTTCAAATTCAAATGAAATAAGTTAAAATGAGATTAATCATATATTTTAGAATAAAAATTGATGCATGTTTTTCTCATTAAATTTTATTTTTACGAATAAAGTTTGGGTAATAGTTTTAGATACCCGACCAATCTTTATATCAATCTGATTGTATCTAAATTCTATTTTATGGATAAATTTTGGATAATAGTTTTTGATACCCTAATAAATTTTACCCGCTAATATTTGATCATAAACCTATAACATAGTTTTGATAATAGTAAAATAACATTTTTACTATAAAAACATGAATAAAATATATCATTGTGGCACGGGTTTCATTTTGCTTTTGTTTTTCGAATATACATACTATATTTATGTTTCATGCCACTTATATGAGCAAACACCATCATCAAACAATTTTCAACACAAGAACAAACTGCAACAGAAAACAAAGCTCAAGTCTAAAACAATATCACCAAAACAAATAAATTAAAAAAAAAAAATCTACAAATCATTGTCTTCTCTTTGCCTCTATACAAACATAAATACATGAATATCACATATTACAACAATCACTTATCTTCTTATACGTACGATCCTCGTTTAAATTTTTATATATCTTTTTTTTCAGAATTATAGTGTTACAAATCTCCCACAACTTTAGGGGCTCCAAACAAACAAAAGCAAAACAGCTTTCTTTTGTTTTACATCCAAAAAAGAAAAAACTACTACAACTTTGATTTCTCTAAACCTTCTTAATATTTTACATAATAGTGTGATAGCATGTAGTTGCACAAATCTTCCTACCGAGCTCATCATTATCGTCTTGATACAAAAATCACTACTTTGTTTTTTACAGCTTCATATGATGGTGATTGCTCGCATACAAAAATCACTATTTGCTCGCAAGAAACTATAACGTGAATTATAATGAAAACTTAACAACCGAACAATCATGAATAATAAATAAGAAGAGAAGCAAATATTTTTAAGAATTCACTTCTCTCTGTGTCTGTGGATATTTTAATATATCCGGGAGATTCCATATGGCTTTTTTTCAAGTACTTTTTTTTTCACCTCTTCATTGAAAAAACCCCAATTTCATATGATTCTCCAACTTCAACTTCATCTCCTTCCTCCAGATTGTGGCTAGATACTCCAATTTCTACCTTGGAGTCACTTCTATACTTGAATAACTCTTTGTCTGAAGCCCGTAGAGTTTCATATGCGATACATACACATTTCTTCAAATTCCCATTGACCTTAGCTCCACGCTTATCCTCAATCTCTGCAGCAACATACGCTGAATCCTTTTTCTCCTTCCCGAAGTTCTTCTTTTTCACAACACTAATCTCCTCTCTCTGATCTGATTACGTGGAGAGAACACTGCCACACTCGGATTAAGTTCGATTTCGGATTCAGACTCGGAGAATTGCGGCAGAATTAAAACTTTTTTCCCGGAGAATTAGGAATTGCAGAACTAAAACTTGCCCGGCGGCAGGATTCTGAGGACGCCATCGAAAGAGCAAGACCACGCCGATTTGATTCAAAGTAACTGGGTAATCGGAGGAGAGGATGACAAACACATGGTCTTTAACTCGAAAAATCTCCAGCATAGATCCAATTTAAGAAGATGATTGAGGAGAAGAAATCTCCGGGATAACCAAGTGGTCGTATCCCAGTGTACTTGAGGGAGGTAAGTCCCAATACGGACCAGGGTTCGAAACCACTTGGCCACAACGGATTTAACATCCCTTCCGTTGGGGCCCTGGAGGGGATAGTCGGGTTTTCCATCGGGTTAGATCCTCGGAATAACTGGATACAGCTGGACAAAGCCCAGACCATCGGTTTGGGCCCCAAGACTGGTCGGTGATTGTTCGGTCGACTCCTCGGACCCGGATACCATCCTCGGACCCGGATACCAGAGATACCAAAAAGAAAAAAAAAAAGTATTTTTATTAACATTCTCAATCGCCAAAGGATAGAAGAAGAAAACAATTAAAAATCGGTTTACCCTTCTTCTCCTCATTGAAACGTAACCGGGTCAGTGAAGAAGAAAATCATTAAAGGAAAATCGGATGAAAAGTGGCAAAGTAAACCAAAAATTTGTTGACTGTGATTATTTAGAATGTTCTGATTGGTTGTTGATTTTTTCTGATGTGTCAGTCAGGAAGTCTAAAAAAGATGATGTGTCCAGACCTGGAGAGAAGCAAGGGGTTTTGGTGTGTTGATTTAAGAATCTTATATAGGTTGAATTAAGGGATTATGTAAGTAGGCGCTTTAGTAAACATTTATGTTGACACTAACAATCGTACATGTAATATACAATACTAGAAACTAATTAACAATTTCGTTAACAAATCACGTTAACAACCTTGTTAATAAAACACAAGGATTAGCACATTAACAAATTCGTTAAAAGGTCTCTTTATCGATCAAGACTATTACTAAGGTGATAATTGGTTTCTCCACTACTACCTGCAAACGCAAAAACAGCGGTTGGTAGTGGTTATTGGCGTTTTGTAATAATCACAACAACCGCTATGAACCGCTCAATACCACTCTGTACCGCTCTATATCGATAAAAATCAAAAGCTCATTTCCGCCAGCGTTTGCGATTGCGGGCGGTTGCGGATTGGAAAAAAAAATCTCCAGATTTAAAATTTTAAACTAGGATAATTATTAAAATTAAATTTATGAATAATTTAATTAAAACGAAAAGTAAATAATAAAAATAAATTTAAATAAGAAAAAAAAGTTATGATTTGATTTTGATGTTTTTCATTTTAAACTAATAAACATTTTAATTCATAATTATCTGTTGAAGCATTTTATATTCTTATTTTTGTGACTTTATATTATGCTCAATGTTTATGAATAATAGATTATTTGTGATATTTAATTTATTTATATAAGATTCCAAAAATAATTAAATTCGTTGAAGACAAATTTTAAAATTTTATCTACATTTATTAGTTTTTAAATTCTAAAATTTAAAGAGGAAATTTGGACCAATATTATATAAATTACTCATATTTTGAAAACTAACTCTTTTTAAAAAGTGTTGGAAAACTAATATTTTTAATATTCAAAATTACTAAAATACCCTCAGTTTCTTTAGATATTAAAATTCATTCATCTTATTTAAGAATTATTTAAATGAAAAAGAATTATGTTATTCTAAAGATAATTATAAATAATTAATTTTATTTTATATAACAAAAAAGAGAAGAAAAAACACTGCAGCGTGAGCCTATCAAATCTGAATAAAATCTACAAATATATATTTAGAAGAACTTATTTGAAATTTAACATCTCATAAATATAGAACGTGAGTTAACTTTAACACATTCCATCATTTTTTTTTATTATGAATGAAGCGTGAGTTTTTCTTTGTTCTAAAATGATATTTATGTGTATCTATTGTTTGATTGATATTTATGATAAATATGAATATATTTTCAAAATAACATGTGTTTATCCAACTTTAAATATTTATTAAAAAATATTTAAACTATTTTTCGAAAATATCTTATATATATATATAAGTTCAATATATATCTCCTATATATAAATTCAATATATATCTTAATTAAATAAGAAATTGTTTTTTTCTCTCATTGTAAACAATTTGGTAATATCAAACCAACCCACCCAAATTTAAATAACTGAACAAAAAGAAAATAATATTATTCATAATATTTTCGAATTTTGTTTATAATTCATATTTATTTACTAATGTTTTGTTAAAATAAAATTAAAATAGTCTTTTTACATATAAAAAATGTATTTTTCAAAAAAGAAAAAAAAAGTTATGGTATTTTTTAAATATCTAAACATAAATAGAGTATTTTTCAAAGAACTCATAATTAAATATTATATTTATTTTAGTAAGTTTTTGGTTCAAACGCTTTTGCATCCTCTAGCCAGCCAGTCAAAAATATCCCGCAAACGCAACCGCAGGGCCGTGCCTATTATAGAAAATAAGAAGCATTGGCCTACGGCATCAAATTTTAAAAACACATTAGGAAGGCATGTTCACAAATATTTTATTCCATGTAGTTTAGGCATCCCCCAATTTTAATGCATCTTAAAGTTAATCTATGTTTCTTCTAAAATTTTTGGTTTTTCTTTCTTTATATTCCACTACATTGACTCTTCCTTCTTCAATTTTTTACCAACTCCTTTTTATCTATTCATTTCCACTTATACTTCTTCTAAACTTTCTAAAATACATATGTATTATATACAATGCCACATTTTGTAAAGTCAAATTTGTATAAGTTTATGTATATTATTCACAAAAGAAGTTTTATCTTTGTAAGAAAATTAAATTTTAAACTATAGTTTTTTATTACATAAATATATCTAAACATTAAATTATATATTCTTATATTTTGCCTATGGCATCAAAAATCTTTGGCACGGTTCTGCGCAACCGCTATAAATTGCTATAACAGTCATACAAACAGCTTAATTACGTTTTTAATCGCAAACTCCCGCTTCCGCAAACTCCCGCAACCACAACCGCAGCGTTTAAACTAATCAGACCTAAGTCTGAGGCCATGACAAGTATTTTCATAGGCCTAGTGCAATAGTTCCAATTTTGCAAGAATAAACAACAGAAATTGCAAATAAGACCTTAAAGTTTTGAAAAGGAACCTAAAATGACATACATTTTCAAAAAACAAATTTGTCTTGGGGAAATGCACCTTTGACACATGCTAAAGGCCATGTCTGAGTATGAGAATGCAACATCTAGATATGTTGTAGTAAATTATGAATCCCAAGTAGGATGAAGTAAATTGTTCACTCCTAATTCTTATGACGTGTTTTAGTAAATTATTAATAATAAAATATTTTTTTTCTAATAATATATTAAACTTTTTGTTTAACTATTTCAGTAAGAACTAATAAGAAGTTTACTTATTCATTAGAAAACAAATTTATTTAATTCTGCCATTTTCAGCCAGCTTCATCTATTACCATTTAAATCTTAAATTGTTTCCAGAAATTATTAATAAATTTGGATAGACTCAAATATATTGATATTACTAGGGGTGAACCACGCTTTGCCATGAATTTATATTGTTATGTTAGTTTTATTATTTTTCCGCAAATTTAATATTTTTGCAAAAATATTATACACATATTAGTTAAATATAATTAGAGTTATGAAATGTTTTAGTACCGTTTTGTTTCATCTGGTTCCATTTCGTTCATATTCATCATGTACGTTCTTTCCCATCCTATCCGTCATATATGTCCCGTCCCGTCCAATCTCATCCTATCCCATTATGTTTCTTTCCATTTTGAAATGTCCAATTCCATTTATTCTTATCATGTTCCCTATATATAATTAGGGGTAGGCATAATTATGTCCCATTCTATTCCTTTTCATCTTGTCTCGTTTTTTTCCGTCCCGTTCATCATGTCCGCCCCATCTAGTCTCATTCTATCCTATTATGTTCCTTTCCATTTTGTTATGTCTCTGTCTCATCTCTAAATATAATTAAGGGTAGGTAAAATTCTCGTCCCGTCCAATCCTGTCACATTTTGTTTCTTTTCATTCCGTCCCGCCCAACCTTTTCGTCTTGTCATGTCTCATCATGTTCTTTTCGTTTTTCCCATTCGGCTCCTAAATATAATTAGAGGTAGGCTCGTCCTGTCATATCTCGTTCTTTTCCGTTCTTTAAATATCGTATTTTCACTTAATATAACAAGAAGTAAGCAAAATTCTCCTCTTCTCCGGTTCTTTTTTTTGTCTCTTCATGTTCGACCTCGTCTCATTTCATCCCAAAATACTTTAAAAATCAGTGTTCTTCCTATAATATGTTTTCTATTATTATTATTACTAAATAATAGTTTTGTAAATCTATACATAAAATTTCTCTCTTTTTTCTAAATGACTTTTCATATTCAGACTATTATAGTAATAAATGATAAAATTAATATAAAAAGAAAATATCATATAATAAGTTGATATGCTAAGGTGTCACAATATTAAAATTCTTCTTTGCTGATGTGACAGCACCAAAAGAGAGCAAACTCTACTTTTTATATATAAATATATTTAACTTAAATATATATTATATATTTTAGAGTCAAATATATTGATATTATTTTGTCAAAGAAAACCCGAAAAATGAAAACAAATCTTGTGGTATTTGTTGACTAATAGATCTATTAGTCAACAAATACCACAAGATTTGTTACCATTTTTCTTTGACAAAAAGAATATCAATATATTTGACTCTAAAATATAAACATAAAGTTAAGTTATATATTTAATTTATATATTTTCTAGAAAACAAAATCTTGCTCTATTTAATTTTTGAAGATTCTTTGTCAAGATTTGGATTATATACTTAATATAGAGTCAAATAGATTGGTCATAATTAATGATTTGCAGAAAACAATCATGTATAAGAATGACTAGTCCTTTTCCTTTCAAAAATCTATTTTCTTGTGTAAGAGTTATCATCTATATAAAAAAATCTTGTTGCAAGAATCTATTACAAATTTGACTCTAAAATATATAACATAAAGTTAAGTTATATATTTAATTTATATATTTTCTAGAAAACAAAATCTTGCTCTATTTAAGTTTTGAAGATTCTGTGTCAAGATTTGGATTATATACTTAATATAGAGTCAAATAGATTGGTCATAATTAATGATTTGCAGAAAACAATCATGTATAAGAATGACTAATCCTCTTCCTTTCAAAAATCTATTTTCTTGTGTAAGAGTTATCATCTATATAAAAAAATCTTGTTGCAAGAATCTATTACAAATTTAAATTTGAGAATAACTATTTAGATGATTCTAAAATGGGCATATTCTACACACTTTTAAGGATCTACGATAGACATGTGGTCGTGGTTTCACGTGCACCAAATTATCTTTGACACGTGAGACCACAACAAACCGCCGGACTTGCAGATGCTGAAAAAACTCGTGTAAGTTTGCATCTAATCTTTATTCCTCTTTATACCAAAAAACCGATCCAGATTCAAAATTACTAACCTAATCATATTCTTGGATTCTTCTAAATCACACCATCTTAATTTTGATAATTTCTATGATCTTTTATTCTATCATACTCTCTTAATTTTTGATGATTTATTCACTTATTTGTAGAATAAAGAGAGCTTATAACTGAATTTTTAATATTTTTTGGACTGTATTTAGATTTTGGGGCAGATTTGTGAAAACAAAATAAATCCGGAAACAATTTGTTATTAATGTTTTTTTAAATATAAATGAGAGAGAAACCAATAGTGGAGATGCTGTCATGCTACTGATTTTGTTTTCCTTTAAAAAAAAGATTGATTGAAATTTTGTTGATTTGATATAATATATACATCGTGTGCTCCTGCTAATGAACTTGTTATTTTACTTAGGATTTTTCCGCACACTACAAAGCTGTAGAAGATGAATATTATGGAACTGTGAAACATCCCGAGATTGTGCACATACATTCCAATATTCAGGCTTATCTCAGGTTAATAAATTCTAACTTTTCATAAACCAACAATATCTGATTAAATTATATGATAGAATAAACAGTAAAATAATAATATAAACCATGAATACGTGAAACGATGTTCTACCATCGTTATTTCAACTTCCGTCGCCGGCGGAAGGATTCTTCCGGATTTCTATCTCGGCCACCACCTTTTATTTCAAATCCTCGACTGCTTAATCTTCTGCTGCATTGTTAAGGTGTTTTCACCGGTGAGCTCCTCTGCCTATTCCCGTCTCACCGATATGTTTCCATCGTTCCTCCATCAGTCCGCCTCAGATCTGTCTTCATTCACTTGGTTCTCCAACCAGCCGCTGTTAGATGGTCCTGTTCCCTCACACCGAAGCTATCGCCAACTCTTCCTCCACATTAGTCATCGATCTTCTCAGCTGTGTGTTTAGGTTGTGCTAGTGTTGATCAGTCACCTTCCCAAGTTCTACCAGTTATTAAGTTGCCAATAGAAACTTTGATCAGCTCATATTCAAGTCTCTAGACCCTGACCATGAGGGTCCGTTCTTTTCAAAAATTTCCACTAAGAAGATAGATTTTCTTTCAACTTCCACTTTCCTCCACGTAAATTATTTATCAAAATTTTCCACGTCGATTTTCGTCGTTTTCAAAGTCGATAAAATGTACCATCTCCCAAACAGAATTGTTATTTTAGGTAGCGATTTTAATGGAACCATAAAATGCAACATGTTTTGTTTCGAGGAGCCTAAGAGGTATGAGCTGTCTTTCAATACCACAAGTTTCCAGCTTTATGGTGAATGTTATGTTGATGCATCTCGTTGGAGATGGATTGTGCCACCCTCATCTTAAGCCATGTCTATTTAAGATTAGCCCATCTGACAAACTGACAAAACCCTAGCGGTTTGTGTAAAAAGGAACAAGGTCGGCTAAAAAAAAGGAATCCTCCATGCAAAAAAGGAAAGATAAGACCAAAAAATGCAACAACTTAGGTTTTGAAGATTCCACGTTTTCACTTTAAAAATATGATTCTGCTATTTTTTACCACTCACATTATTCATCAATTTTACACGTTTTCACATATTTGAAAAATGATTCCGCTATATAGAATTATCGTACTTGTTGAAAATATAACTAGAAAAAAATAAAACGTGATTAATATATATTGTTTTTTGAACAACTCGTGATTAATATACTAAAACTAGCTTTTCTGCGTTTATAACTTTTGATAAAAAAAATTGTATTCTGTCCAGTTTATTCTGCAAACACTTATTCACTTATTCCGTTATTTTGCTATTCTTCTGACATAGCAATCAGGCCCTAAGAAGTATGGACCTTCTTTCAAATTCAGTAGTCAATTTACTGCTTTCCAGCTCTACGTCAGGTGCTTTGAATCTCTTTTATTGTTTAACTATCTTTTATAAAAGGATCTCTCTTAAGTTCGCTTTCATTTACGTTCAATAGAAAAACAAACCTCTCATTCATAATTGTCTACTATCATTTAATACTCTTAGCTTTAACACCACCATCTTCCCTGGTTTCTCCGTGTTCTGCAAGTAAAACATTCTTGCAATCACCGAAAAACTTTGGTAACCCTTCTAAACCTTGTAATTAAAGTGGAGGAAGTTTATACATTTTTTTTAGATTACCATATCACAACCAACAAAAAAAAAGCAGAAACTCTTTAGGTTATTACCATTAGAGTTAGATCTATTTCTGCGAGCCTCTTTCTTCTTGTCTCGTTTGCTCTTCACCACGTGAAAAGTATTTGAAACTTTTTAAACAAAGCAGCATTATAAAAACTGAAATTGAACTAGCAGATGTATAAAAACACATTCAATTGATTACACAACCAAAAACAAAGAGAAAACTCATGAGTTTTAATTTTTGTTTGGATAACTAGTAACAATAAAGATTCAACAATATCTAAAACAACGTTACTATTTCAAATAATATAAGGGGGGGAAAAGCTCAAGTTTTGACATTTTCTTACAGAAGTTTTAACTTTTTAACATGTAATACGAAATTCTTCAAAAGTTTAAGAGAATCTCTTGAAAAGTCTTTTAAAGTTTTTGATTTTATATTGGAGACTTTATGGATATTATATTTCAAGCAAATTAAAACTAAAACCTCCCCCAAACAAATTTACAAAAAAATAATATGTAAGTTTGAAGAAATAAGCAAAACCTTGAAAAAGGAGACGATTAACAGTTTCATCAGGATCCATATCGCACTCCACAAACATCACATAGATCTCTAACTCAGAACAATTCACGATCTCCTTCAAACTCTCAACAACCTTTCTCGAAGACGCCAGAATATTCGCATTTGCGTTACTAACGTCACTACTATCCCCCATTTTTCTCTCTTTCCGGATTACGGGAAAACAGACGAATCAGATATGAGGAAAACTTCTATGACTCGCGATTTCTTTTTGGCTTCCTTTGAGCATAAGTAGAACAAAAAGAAGATTTTTCTTTCCTCATACTCAAAGGAAACCAAAAAAAAATGAGAGCGGTAAAAGTTTTCAGATCTGATTTGTCTTTTTTCCCCTAATCCAGAAAGAAAGAGAGAAAATGGGCAATAGAAGCGACGTCGTTAGTAACGCAAATGCAATATATCGGCGTCTTCGAGAAAGGTTGTTGAGAGTTTGAAAGAGATCGTGAATTGTTCTGACTTAGTGATCTATGCTATGCTTGTGGAGTGCGTTATGGATCATGACGAAACTGTTAATCGTTTTCTTTTTCAAGGTTTTGCTTATTTCTTCCAATCCATATTATTTTTTGTAATTTGTTTGGGGAGGTCTTAGTTTCCAATTTGCTTGGAATATAATATCCAAAAAATCTCCAATATAAAATCAAAAAATTTAAAAGAGTTTTCGAGATAATATTCTCTTAAGCTTTTGAAGAATTTCTTATTAATTAAATGTTAAGAAATTTTAAGAAAATGTCAAAACTTGAGTTTTTTCCCCTTTATATTATTTGAAATAGTGAGGTTTTTTTGGATTTTGTTGAATCTTTATTGTTATACGTTATCGAAAAGAAAAAAAAACCCATGAGTTTTCTCTCTATTTTTTGGTTGTTGAAGCAATTGAATATGTGTTTTTATATATCTACTAGTTCAATTTCAGTTTCTTATAATTCTGCTTCGTTCAAAAAAAATTCAAATACTTTTCAAGTGGTGAAGAGCAAACGTAACAAGAAGAAAGAGGCTCGCAGAAATAGATCTAACTCTAATGGTAATAAGCTAAAGAGTTTCTGCTCTTTTTGTTGTTGGTTGTGATATGGTAATCTACAAAAAATGTATTAACTTGTTGTTATGTATATTGCTTTTAGGCATAACGAGTTAAGTGGAAGAAGGAAATTCTCACCCATGAATTGATTGTATGCACTGTCTAAATGGGATAGTTTCGGTAAGTTGTCAAATGAAACACGAATATATCCAGCTTAAAATTTAGGTTTCTCAGTTTGGTTAGGTTTGAATTAACCTACTAAATTCATTGTTAGAGGTGAAATTAGCACATTTCCTTGAGTTTGTCACCATTAGTAAAATCTTAAAGACCCGGCCCGACTTTAAACCTAATCTCCTCAACAAGATGGCAAGTCTTGGGAAAAATGCACAATCTTTGTGAAAATGTAAAAAAAGGCTTATGCCGACTCGAAGAATAGAAATCAAAAACAATAGGAAGTTTTTCAATTCGACAAAGAGGAAGGTATTCATCAAGAAGCCGACCTCTTCTCGCTATATAATGAACACCCCCATTCCTGGAAAATGATCCGAAATTAGCTGTAAGAACCCTAGGCAGTAGCATTCGCTTTCAGCTTTCTCTTGTTTTTCATTCTCGTTGTTGACGAGACAAGACCCTTTTGTACTCTTTCGATTCTCTTCGAGTAAATGCATCCCAGTTCCCAAAATCTCTATCTTCGATACTCATCGCCGACTTATGCTATCTCTGATCTCACATTCATTATACGAAAGGTCAAGATGTGTGAGATGAGAAAGGTTGCCTAACGAAGAAGGAATCTCTTCATAGAGATCGCAAAATGAAAGAGTTAGGTTACGAAGATAATGGAGTTTGAAAAGACCTAAGGTAAAGTGAAATCACCTCGCCAGATTTATCATCACATGTGACGCCCTCCCAAGAACAGCAATCTTTACTCTTGTTCCATGAACTTAAAGATGTACTAAGGTCAAATGAATCAGATTCGATTACCGGAAACTCGTGTTTGAACTCCAGAAGAGCATCCCTCTGGTCATGATGGCAATAGTGGAGCATAGGAGGAGAAGCAAGAGTTATAGAACGAAGGAAACCAAGAAGACGAAATACAAGGTAACAACAATACCATAAAAGCAATAAGATTTGTGTGGAATCGTCATAACTCTTTATCTCTTTATTTCTTCTTCTCTCTTTTGTGTTTGTCTGGAAGTAATAGTGTTTTTTTTATATATATGATAATGGCTTATGTAGCTCTTTTTTAAGAGATTGTATATCTTTTTACGAGAATGGCTTATGTAGCTCTTTTTATTGAAAACTCAATTTGTCTTGACTTTGGCAAGTCTTGCGTCAAGTCAAGTCGTCGGATAAGGATTATGGTGTCAAGTCTTGCAATGATTTGTGCCACTTGTCTCCAAACTTTCCACATAGATTGACTCAAGTCGTCGGATTCGGTTGATTAATAGTTGACTCTTTAGTCTATTACCAGTCAAAGCCCACTGCAATGAACAAAGACACAACAACTGTCTCATAATTATGTTTTAGTATTTTTAGAGAAAGTAACTACAAAACAGAGAGATGATAATAAGACAAAGTAGTTTCATTAGGGTTGATTCAGATTTACAAAGTAACTACAAATCCAAAGACAATGTAACTACGTAACTGAACCTGTTACAGTTTGATAATAAGACCAAGTAACTAGAAAACTAAAAACTGTAACAGAACTTGTGTCAATCCGAATTAAACCTGTTTTGCATCAAAAACTTATAATGAAACCAAACCTTCCTTGATCAGAAACTCAGAGGTGAAGATGTCAATCTACCTGTAATGTTGAGATATGCAAAATTTCGACGTGGGAAATTTTGGTAAGGAAGACTAAAAACGACGTGAAACCAGACTAAATCACCAAAAGCAGATTCCAGATAACGACATGACACCATACGTTAAAGAATCTAACTATGGAGTCAAAATTTCAAATATTCGTAGGAGGACGTTTCTGTTGCATTTTCAATTTAAGACACCAAAGAAAATAATTATACACATATAAAATAGAAAATTACATTTGTACAACACACACATACCATACACATATGCTTCACAAACGCTTAAAAAGAGAGGGTGGTATTCATTTGGCGACTATTTTGGGCTTGTTCCGACCAAAGTTTTTCACGAACCACTTGTGTTTGTATGAAGATAAGATATGTCCAATCACCAATCCGCAGAACACACCAGGTGCATAGGCTATCCCCGCTGCTATCCAACTAATCACTTCTTCTTCTGCCTCCGAATAATCTCTGATTCTTGTGGTGTAGGATTCGAGGCATGATGAGCTTCTCCACATACATCTTCGAGACCGTAGAGTCTGAGGTTGTCCATGAACACTGAACAATTCTGCCTTTGAAACTGCGTGCCTCGTGGTATTAGACCTTCGAGCTTGTTATGGGAGAAGTTCATGACTGACAAAAAGGAGAGGTTGCCAAGATCTCGAGGAATCTGACCAGACAGTTGATTCCGGGATAGGTCTAACGCCTCGAGATTTGTCAGATTTACCAATGATTGAGGTATATTGCTTGTGAATGCATTACCTGACAAGTTGAGAAGACGCAGTTCCTTCAACAATCCAATAGAATTAGGGATCTTTCCATAAAATTTGTTCCCTGAAAAATCAATAGCTCTGAAGTCACTCCGGATCTGCTCAAATTTTGTATCGACTCCTTTACTCACCATTTCCATGGAAATACGGTAAGAATAATTACTTTGCATGTATTCGTCATCTTCTTTGTTTATCATGGTCATTTGACTCCAGCTGGAAAAATAGAAAGGTGGCAAAGTTCCAGTGAAGTCGTTATGTGATAAATCGATGACTCTTTAAACTTTGGAATCCAATGGAGACATTGGGATGATACAAGGGCCCGTAGGTAGAATTGATTTGATCGTAGGATCAAGACATTTAATGACGGCAGAGAACCCAACCAAGATGGAAACTCGTCCTTGATTCTGTTGCTTTCAACACTCAAAAGCTCCAAGGAAATGCAGTTGATCAATGATTTTGGAAGTTTCCCCTTTAACTGGTTCCCGCTGACGTCAACTATCTCTAACCTGGTGGCATTGACAAACAAATCTGGAGGAAGAACTCCACTGAGATTGTTGTTTTGCAAATTCAGCTCTTCAAGATTATTAATGGTATTCCTCAAACATTGAGGGATGGAGCCGCTGAAGCCATTGTTAGACAAATCTAAGAGCAGTGTCGATCTAAGCTTGCAGATCCAATGCGGTAATATAATGTACCTCGGAAGAGATTTGAACTAAGGTCCAACTGCTCGATAAGTGTTAAACCGGAAACTTGGAATGATTTTTCAAAACTGCTGAAAGAGTTGTGAGAAAGCCTCAACTCCAATACGATGCTCGAGTAAGAAACCTGGTATTTCGCCTTCCAACTTATTGTTGGAAAGAAGAAGATGCTCGAGTTTGACTAAATTTGATTTGGGGATTGGTCCAGTGAAATTGTTGTGGCTAAGGTCGAGATAACCCAGGTTGACCAACTTTTGTATAGATTCGGGGATTGGGCCAGTGAAATTGTTGTCACTAAGAATTAAAGTTTCAAGATTTGTTGGGAAAATTTGAAATGGGTCTGGGGACATGCCCAGTGAATTTGTTGTGACTAAGGTCCAGACTCTGAAGCATAGAGGACGAAGATGCATTCCTAAATTCTATAGGTCCCTTGAACTGGTTTTCCCACAAACTAACCAATCTTAAACAAGGAATCACAAACAAGGACGTAGGAAAATTCCCGGAAATAGAGTTTCCACTCACATCAAAATACTCCAAACTGTGGGATTCACTCAGAGGGAAAATTTCACCCGTAAATTGATTGAATGATATGTCTAAATGGGACATTTTGGTTAAGTTGGCAAATGGAAGGGGAATATTTCCACTGAACTCGTTAAAGCTAAGGTCTAGGTATCTTAGTTGGGTTAGGTTTCCGACTGAAGCCAGAACCTCGCCTATTAAATAATTATTCCAAAGTTGAAGATGTGTGAGATGAGAAAGGTTTCCTAATGAAGAAGGAATGTCTCCATAAAGATAGCAATCGCCAAGAATTAGCTTACGAAGATAACGGAGTTTGAAAAGACCACTATTTGGTTTCAAAGAGTTGTTGAGAGGGGTGGACATAAGGTAAAGTGAAATCACCTTGCCAGATTTAGCATCATACGTGACACCCTTCCATAGACAGCAATCACTACTCTTGTTCCATGAACTTAAAGATGGATTTGAGTTGGATTCATGTACCGGAAACTCTTGTTTGAACTCAAAAAGAGCGTCCCTCTGGTCATGGCGGCAGTAGTGGAGCATAGGAGGAGAAGAAGCGAGAGTGTGGAGAACGGAGGAAGCCAAGAAGAAGAAATACAAGGTAACAACAATACCAGAAAAGCAATAAGATTTGTGTGGACGTGGAATCGTCATTACTCTTTCTCTTCTTTTTTTTTCTTCTTTCTTTTGTGTTTGTGTGGAAGTGATATGTTTTTATGATTATGGCTTATTGCTTTTTAAAGACAAAATAAAAACTCATTGTCAATTGACTTTGGCAAGTCTTGGGTCAAGTCGTCGGAAAAGGTTTGATTTATCATTTTCCAGTTAATTTGTGCCACTTGTCTTAAAATTGTCCTCATACATCAATTGTTTTTTTGTCTTTCTGTCGATAATTGCGGACCGATGACTCAGGGATGGTTAAGTTGATCAATCACTAAGCAGGAAGGTCGTAGAATCTGTTAACAAGATTTTTCTTTGATATAAAGTGGCTCCAATCTATCACAAGCTTGACAATTCTTGTGATAGATTGGAGCCACTTTGGATGGCAATTACAGCTGAGGATGGTAATTATCTGCATCAACATCTTTGGCTTAGCTTTACAATTCATCATTACATTCCCTTAGCTTTGTTTGATTTTGGAGATTTTTTTTAGTAGTCGTACTGTTTTAGTTTCACCGTTAAAGTTCACTCTTAAGACTTAAATTATGTACAGTACAGTCAATCTAGATTTGAACAATTTGTATCTTGCATCAACCTTAAGAAAATTCCTTTGATCATTCGAAGTTTTGGCATCAAGAATCGCGGTTGAATATGGAGCTGCTGGGATTCTAGTTACTAACTAATGGAGCTAGCTCGTCACCTATATTATGTCCTTGCAACTATTATGGCTCTTGAAGAAGATAGGAAGATGTTGCAAATGCTAAAAGACGAGTTCGAGCTGACAATGGCACTAAGACCGATTGGGACTTTCCTCATTACCTCCCGACCAAGCTATAAGGAAACTTTATTGAGTTATATGTTGGATTAATGATCCAATAATGTATTTCCCCATCAAACTTTATAATCGAAAATTTATCTGAGTGAAATTATTTTCTTTTGTAGAGATAGTATTCAAATGTTAAAATCAAAATATTTATCTACAATATACCGTTTTTAAAAAAAATTGCAAAACAAAGCCCTCACATTCCAATTTTATACCTTCTCACATAGCAAGAGCGACGTGTGTGAGAAGCAAGCGTGTTACAGACTCTCATTCTCTGTGATTTAATTAGGAGAAGAAGATTTTTGGTAGGGATGACTTTAAAACGACGTGAACTAATGGTTTCCATGAAAGAGACGAATGATAAAATCTAAATCACCAAAAGCATCTAGCATTATGATATAACGACTTCAAACCATACGTTAAGTAATTATTCCACTACAAAAACTACAGAGTCTATAATTCAATCATTCTTATTATCAGAAGCTGTGATTTGATGTAGGACGAAGTTTCTGACTGTTTTTTTCAATTTAAGATACTAAAGCAAGTTTATTACAAAACCATAAGATAGAAAATTATATTTGGAGAACACTGAACACACATACATTAAATGGCACTTCTTGTGAATGTTTTGGGATTTTTTCCGACCGAAGTTTTACATGAACCACTTGTGTTTATGTGAAGAGAAATTATACTACCCAGTCACTATCCGCAGAACAGACCAGGTCCATAAGCGGCTCCGAAATCCGCAAATTCAGAACATGAGTTTCTCCATATACATCTTCATCAACATATTTTGCTTGTAAACTTGTGGTTTCACAGATTCACGCGCGCCCCAACGTCCCAACCATCACAATTCATCTTTTACTTTCCATTAGCTTTGTTTGCTGTTGTAAACTTGTAGTTAAAGAGCCATACTCCATTTTAAGGAATTGGCCCTTGGCGCTTCAGGTGCCTAATGTCTTTGTAAGTTCATCCGTCACACACTCTTTAGGCTTTACCTCTTGTAAATTTCCCATGTTTTCTCTCGTTGCTTTCAAATCAATCCCTTAAAATAACTTTTTCATATTGTGCCCCAAACTTTTTCATTTTGTTAAAAACAAAGTACAAACATCTGTTTTCTTTTGTTCTTTCCTGGGCCTCCAGGCTATATCATATGCTGCACTTGAGACTTTGAGTACTCTCACCGATCATGTTGTAATCCACTTATCCACGCTGTTTATTTGTTTAATAAGGTTCATAGTAAGTGATGAGGAGCTTCTTATTTATAGGAATCCTAAGTTGATTTCTTCGACCTAGATTTCCTTTTCTCTTTAGAAAATCTTCTAGTTTTTCTCTATCTCTTTCTAATTTTGTGGATATTCACTTCGATCCTCAAAGATATCTCTTTTCCTTGATGAGGTTGCACGACTGGACCTTCATTAATTAATCATTAATTGGCTGTTTTGGGATTTTTCCGAGCAAAGTTTTACATGAACCACTTGTGTTTATGTGAAGAGAAGATTTACCAAATCACCAATCCGCAAAACACACCAGGTCCATAAGCTATTGCCGCTGCTATCCAACTAATCACTTGTTGCATGCATTGGCTCCCATAAATCCGCAAATTATTTTGGTGTGGGATTAAGAACATGGGTTTCTCCACATACATATTTTGCTTAGTTTTTGTGGCTTCACACAGTCACGTACGACCCAACCATCACAATTCATCTTTTACTTTCCCTAAGCTTTGTTTGATGTGTAGTTAACTAGCCATATAACCAAAACTCCATTTTAAGGCATTGGCTCTTGGCGCTTCAGGTGTCTTTGTAAGTTCATTCGTCACACACTCTTTGTAAGTTCATTACTTACATCAGATTTAGTTTTCAGTGGTAGTTATTTTCATCTAGTATAGAGAATTGTAGTAGCAAAATGGCTACATTAACCAAAATTTTATTATTTTCATTTACAAAAGAAAAATATAGTAACAATAAATTGCTTCCCTAATAAGAAAGATGGATATGTGTGGACATTTACAAGAACTAGTCAACGAATCATCCCAACTCTCTATACGATGAATGTTTTGCTTTAGGACGTACGATTGACTGCGTGAGACAAACCATGCGGGTCTTATCAGCAGCATAACGGAAGAGCCAGAAATTTTTTAAGATTTTGCTACATAACTATACGAGAGTAGAGGCGACGACAAAGTTTTTCGAAAATTTTCAAGCTTATCGTCTACATTATGTAATTTTGTCCTAGCTGCGTTAGCTCGAGCATCATGCACCCGTGGCTTGCATTTTTCTTCGTAGACACCTCTTCTCTAGCAACGAGGAAGAGACTAGAATACAAATTTCATCTGCTTTAGTCTCTAGTCCCAGATACGGACCTTAACGGGTTTAAATGATTTTCACTAGTATCCGAATACAAATTTCAAATTTCAAATTTCTTTTCCCACATAAAACGTTGAATCATATATATGAAAAGGGAAGGACCCTCTCCATATATTGGACACTTGGATACAGGAAAATAAGCCACCTGTCTTTCAAAGTTTTTGGCTATTCTAATTCTGTATTTTTTTATGTTTCGTCTGTCTTTAAGTTGAGTGTAAATGGCTCTTTAAACCTCCTATTATGGCTAAATCGTGTTCATTTATACCTTTAATCTTTTAATGTGATTATGCGTCAATCTAAAATCTATACTCACCTCCTCATAAGGGTTTGAATCCCTCTCTTCGATCCTATCTGACTTTTCATCTTTCGACTTTGCAACATCTTTTTCATTAGGCCTTCATCGTCCCACGGCGTTTATTGTTTAAAGTTACAGACTAGGCTTCCCGTGGCGGATCTCACGAAAACTAAAGAGCAACAACGAAATCTATGGGACTTGATAGGTGATGGATCGGTTGGTTAGTGTTCAAGTAAGATTCAGTTTGTTTCGTTTCTGTTTTGAATTTCACCTTTACAGCTTCTTTTTTCATTGTGCTCAAACTTGAGATTGTATGCTTCATATGCTAGAGAAAGAAAAATTGTGCTCTCATATTAAGTTATTAACTTTGTTATGATTTATTGGATTGAAAAAACATCTCGTGCTTCTTATATTTGTTGTGGTTTCTCTTTTCTGTGTAGTTCTGCGTTGGAATGAATTCATATTCAATTTCCCCCCAAATCCGGTTTCAGAGTTTGAAATGACGGATGCTGACAATAAGAGCATGCTTTGACTGTAGAAAGGTTTCTTTGAGTTGAGCTTCTGAGAGTGTACATTTGCCAAGGAGAAACAATAAGTCTCTGAACTCATGTTGTTTTCACATGAGAACCACTAACATTTCTTAATTTTTAAATCTACATCAGGAATAAGTAGGAGGTCTTTGCAGGCAATCTCTGGCTAACTGTGAGGCACAAGAAATAAACATTCCAAACATTAGCTGGCTATGCAAGAATGAAAGAGATTGCTCTGTCTCAAGGCCATAGACAGCTTCAAACAGTTCGATAATAGGTGAGGTGAGCTAAAATTGATGCAAAGAGGGGATGATGCTTTGGATCTCTGTCCCACTTGCTGGTTTCTCGAGAATCTAATTTATTTGCTGGAGGACTGTAAGATTACATAACCACCATGATTTTATACTTCTCTGAGATCATCGGTACGATCGGGTTTTTCTTGGCCTTGTTGTTTGGTGATAAGTTATTTCAAATGCTGAGCTATCTTCTCAGTTAAGTAATAAAAACAAAGGAAATAAATTAAAGTGACACAAGAAGAGCTAGCCTATATGTCGGGTTTCATGATCCATCACTTCGCTTTTTTCCTTTTACCATATGATTATCATTTTGCCTTCATGATCCATCACTCCTTAAGAAATGTCTTCACTTAATTTACCAGAAAAAAGAAAAGAAATGGTCTTCGGTTTGAAAAGCCATGGAGGATATAATACTACGAGGAGAACGAGTTGCAAAGAGCTAATTGATGAGGTTGGAGTTGAAAGGGAATGAAGAGATAAAAAAAAATCTGTGATATTTGTCGATTCTTTTATGTTAGGTTCAGCTCCTTAAGCAAGGTGAATGGAATCTATAAAGTCCGAGTTGTTTTTGCTCTCGAGTAAGTTCATTTTTATTTGTTAAAAGAAATTCTTCAAGCCTTTTATATATGATTCGAAAATTATATGAAATAAAATATCCAATAAAGAATTTGTATCAGGAAAAAAACCTGCGCGTATGCGCGGGCATAGGTCTAGTATCTATATGAATTAGAGTTCTTATTATTAGTTGCTTTGATAAAGTAGTTTCGAGACGTTTCTGATTTGGAACTATATATGGAACAGAACAGAACTGATGAGCTTAATATATGGGTGTACCCTCACTGTATGACTATTTGTTTTGGATGACGACCACAAGGTCCAAATAATTTGGATGAAAACGAAAATGTTACAACGTGGTTGCATTAACCATGCAACGTTTGTAAACACCATGAGGACCATGACATCATCATCATCATACATTCATCTGATCTGACAATCCCACCGATTGAGTCCATATATTTAGACATACATACGTATATATATCGAGTTTCATTGCGCTTTTACAATATAGTGACTTATATTTATTCATTTTGGTCAACAATATACTGACTATATACTACTAACTAGTTATACTGACTTATACATTTAACATACGTGGCTTCACTTAATACCACGGATTCGTGCCCATCAATATACAAATTACGAAATCTATGGATTATTCCAACAGTCTTTTGCTGGTTTCGAGTGTTTTCTATTTACATATACATACGAGAAATCTACATTTGATTCTATGATCGTCATTTCTACAGTTTCGTCATTGCTTAGTCAGTCTTAGTCATCTTTTTATAGTAGTAGTACAGCTAAGTTTATATATTTGCTATAATCCTATATACAGAGTCAATACATGCATGAACGCAAATGATCCTAGTCAGGACTCAGGACTCAGGACTCAGGACCCATATATATAAATATTAGTTTTTTAAAGTACTTTTTTTTAGTTCTTATGTAAATGCTCAATCACGGCTAGTGTTTGTATATGATGATGATCATGCAACTGAATTTTGTTCTCTCTAATTTTCCTGAACGTTTGAAAATCTTTCTGTTCTTTCACATATGTTTTGGCAAAAGCCAAATTACACTGACAATCTAACCATTACCAACTAGGACTTGGGATAATCGATAATATTTTGAACCTATCAAAATTTTCTAATCTATCAAAACATTAAAAAGTACAATAAAATTATTATACTTGATCCACGAGTTCACTTGAGTCCACAAATGTGCCATGAAACCCATACGGCACTCTTGACGGTAGTTTAATCGTAGCTTCAAGCTTTAAATCAACGGCGTTGATAATCTGAAGCTCCGACGTCTCTTTCTCTTCGTCATGAACGTGACAGAAAATGTAACCGTCATCTTCATTTTCTCCGCCGTCACCGGAGCCATTAGGCAAGAAAAACGGTTCCCCGCCGTACTTCTCTCCGCCGTAAATGTACTTCTTGATTTCTCCGGTGCAAAGATCAACCTTAGCGAAACCGGAAACTTTTGGCCAAGGATCAGCGATAGCCAGAAACGCGAACCGGGTTTTTCTACCTAACCGGTTCCGGTTAACCATACCGATCTCTAAATTCATCTCTTGGTCCAACAACGCGCGGCGCGTGGACTCACGCGTCCTGAGGTTTATCCTGATCTCCGTCAAGACGCTTTTCAAATTCTCGTCTTTCTCGTTGAAGATAGAATCCGCAGGCGTCATACAAGATCCGATTACCACAACTTCCTCCGTCTCCGGCGATTCCCACGCGTTCCAGAGATGGAAACAGAATGTCTCCGGCGAATTTACCCAGATTATCTCAGAAGCCTCCGTCGCGTCCTTGGGCATTATCCCCAATCGTGAAACTTTGTTCTCGTCGAAAACCACCGGAGAGTTTCCGGCAATCATCTCGCCGAGCTTAAACACGACTTGCTGGTCGGGAATAACCACGAAATTCTCCGTTATAGCGAAATCGTGAATCATCGTCGGAGTTTCCAGCGGAATCTCTAAATCCGGCGATTTAACACCGTCCGGCGAGAATCTGAAGTACTTCAGGTAAGGCTTCTTGACGACATCGTAGCTCAACGCGTGGAGCTCTTTCGTAACCGGGTCGAGTTTCGGGTGTGCGATCATCGCGGATTTTAACTGACCGTCGAAATCGTAACGCCCAACCGTTTGGAGATCGCCGGTTGGCGTAATTCTCAGTTGGTACGGTAAATCGTCTTCCGACATGGCTAAAAGCCGGTTATTGAAATAAATTAGACCGGCGTTTGCTACTCCGACGCCGTTTTGGTTGTTGATGAGACCACAGAGCCCACGTGCGTAAAACAGCATTAAACGTGCGATTCCCGAGTGGCCGTGAAGCTCGCCAATTGCTTTTGGAAAAACCGGTCGGCCCAATCGTTTCTCTTGCAGCAATCTCTCGGTTTTAGTGAACCGGCACGCGTAGCTAGCTGAACCGTTGGTTATTTTAACGGTGTGAACCATTCCGTCTCCGTCGAATAAATGGTGCCCCGCTATTGGCTCGAACATCGGATTTGCGCCATTACGGACGTAAACCCCATCAATGCAGTCGGGGATTATTCCTTCGACGGTGAGAGATTGCCGAACGGAAGATTCCGGTACTGGAGAATAGTTTCCGGCGATCTGAACACGTGGATCGGCGGTTTTGGGAAGAGGAGTATCTTGCTCGCGTGAGATCAACGAGCGCTCAGCTGCGTTGATTGCAATCGCCGCCGCTTTCTGGAAGATGTTTAGCTTGAGAGAATTATGCTGCGGCGGAGTGGCAGTGGTTCTGGGAGTGAATAGTGGCCGTTGTAAGGGTAATTCCGATATGTCGATCTGCACCGTGCATTTAATCTTCAGCTGTCTTTTAATGGGCCGAATACCCAAACCAATTTGGGCTTGAGGCCATGGGTTAGTACCACTCATCGACATTGTAAGCAGAGAAACCATGGCGTTTGTGTTTTGTTCTTCGTTAGAGGGTTCTGACACTGATTGTGTTCTTGTTTCTAGTCTGGAGAGAGAGAGAGAGAGCAGAGAGAGAGAGAGAGAAAGGAAAGTTCGATGAGAAGAAAAAAGGAGGAGGAGAAATTATATATAGAGTTGGGTAAGAGAGAGAGAGGAAAGAAAGTAATGACCATTTGATTTTATTGATTTCATACTTGGTACAATTTAATAAGTTAGCTTTGTAAGTGTACAGCGTTCTTTCGTAGCTAATAGCCTAATAGTATGATTTTCTCTGGTTTTTTTCCTTTTAAATTCAAATGAGCTGGTTTTTCTTCATTTTTCCTTTTCTGAATAAGCCAGAAAATTATAGATTTGCTTATTTCTTAAATAAGTTTATTTCTATAATATTTTGTTCGTTTTAAATATAAATAATTTTGTAGAGTAGTGATTAATTAATGAAATGATATAACGGTAAAAAAAATAAAAATATTTCAAATCCATTTTTGTAGCGTTTTGCATTTTAAGACTTTTAATATTTAAACTAATAAATAATTCTATAATATTTTTATATGCTCATAAACTAGAGTTTAATTTTTATTTAAAAAAAAGTTTGAAGAGGGTATAAATAATTAAAATCACACAGCAATCGTTTGAGTTATAATTATATTATGTGTCGCGAGTATCTATGTCACACATTATAATAAATATATTTTTATATTTTAGGTTGAAAGTAAATAATAATTTTAAAGAGCTTATTTAAAAAAGGGAAAAATTAGAAAACAAACTTGATTATTTTAGAAAGGTAACAAATTAGAGAACATCAGTTTATTTTGGAAAAAGTTATAAATGTTTGACTATTTTAAAAAGGAAAATAACTAATTATTTAATCTCATAAGAAAAAAAAAAATCAATTATTTTATGAAAGTTACTAAAAGTTTTTTAAGCAAAATCTTTTTTAAGTTTAGGGAAACAAATCGGAGAAAAAAAAACAACTTATTTAATTTTTTTATTATTAATGGTTTTCAAAATGATCCTAAAATTTCCGTAAACGATTTCTAAAATTAAAAAAAAAAATGATTATTCTAAAAAATATAGAAAAACCTCCATAAAGAAATATTCGATATATTATTAAACACTATAAAATCATATATTTATTTGATCTTTAGTCATGTCAGTGTAAAAATTAACAAAATTTGATCAAATAATAGTATGACTAGAGATCAAATAAATATTTTGAGAAATTGCAATGTTAATATGTGGTCTCGAATAAATTGTAAATTCATAATTATATAAACCTATGTATATATACATACTATAATTTACTTAAATATGAATATAATTGTTTGTGTTTTTTTCCTTAAAATTTTATTTAATTTTTTTATGAGATCAAAAACACATATTAAAAAAAATTCTAAACACGATTATTGTTTTTTTTTTTGCTAAAGACGATTATTGTTTTCTTATTGTCTTCAACTTCATTTAGTCACAATTTCTTCTAAAAGTTTATACTTTTAACATTTAATATTTTTACATAGATAGTTAAGTAGATTAACAAAACACATTTAATTGTCACATGTGAAATTTTTAGGGAAATTGCAATAGATAACAATATTTGAACCCATATTTAACAAACTAAAAATAGTAAAGACATGGTTAGAATACACCATGTATTTTCTGAAATAATACCATATAGCCCTTTTAGGAGAGAGAAATAATTACTGTTCACAACTAGATTTGAGTAAATAGAAACAAAAACTAGTCTGATTTCTGAATTTCGATTAGAAATATGATTGGGAAAATGAATAATTCATAGATAGGAAAGACTTAAAGTTGATGTTACGCATGAACAATGAATTAATTTGAGATCTGAAAATACGAGATCCTAAAACGAAAGGTTTTGTTCTTTTAGCGAAAAATATGATATACGACCTTGAACAGAGACTTCAATTGGTTTGAGGAAGATGACATAATATTATTTTGTTAATGGAAGTATTATACTATTGAACTGCATACTATACTATTTTGTTGTTCGAAGTAACAAAATAATTCAAAATAAAGTATGGTTTATAATTTCAGATTATAGGGTTTAGTTGAATGTACTGTACATTTATTTTTTTTGGGTTTACTAATCTTGACTAGGGTTTAGTTTTATTATACTAAACCCTAAATTTTAAATTAAATGTAATGTACATTATTTGTTTGGGTTGACTAATCTTAGTTAGGGTTTAGTTTTTATGTTTTATGTTTTAGTTTTTAGGGTTTAGATTTTTTGCTTAGGATTTAGGTTTAGAATTAAGATTTTAGGTATATGATTTATAAATTATTATAGTATAGTACACAAAATTCAATAGAGATGCCGTTGAAAAGAAGTTGCTTGTATGTATATCGAAGGAGAAAATTGTCCAAAAAGTTTTCTCTTTGTTACTTTCTTAATTTTTAAAATTTTATGGCTATATTCTTTATATTGGATCTTAATATTGTTAGTCACCAAATTAACCCAAATTTTTATTTAAAATATTAAATATGTTATTTTAACGAATACGTTAAAAGCTTTAAAATATTATTGTTGAATAATTATTTTTGAAAATTTTCTCAAATATCTCTATAAAATAATAAATTTTCAAAAATCTTAATATTATTAATTTATAGAAGTTTGACAGTATTAAATAAGTTTGTACTATCCGAGGAAGAGTCAAGTAGGAGAAAGTCTCATAATGCGTAGAGGAAGATACCACGTGGTATAATCCGTTACGCTACACGTGACACACCAACACAGCAAAATAAAATTATGTACGTGAATAATTGATTTTGTTGACACAATAATAAATATAGGAGTTTTGCATCCTGACCCTATATATACGTTTAAGTTACTCAAACCTAGGAACAAAAAAGTTTTAACTTGCATTGTGGTAAAGCAGTTATTTAACTATTATCCCATTGGTGTCTAGTAAGATCAAATGTCTAGTAATTTAGTTGGGTCTTGGATTAGCTTGAAGAAGTCTTCGATTTCTTTCTCTCCAAATCTCATAAACCTTGACTTGGAGAGTTAGTTTGCATGTGATCTTGAACTTTTTGGACCTTGACGCTATTCTAACCAAAGCAATCATGTTTGGAAAGCTTGCTGGTGGCTTGGCAAAGAAAGCATTCCATATTGTCAATTTGTTTGTTTCAAAGGAAATGTGAGTTTGTTTGCTGGTACAAAGGAGACAGCAACTAGCTAGGAACATTCAGTCTCCATCGAATTAGATTGTTTCTTGTAACTTTGTAAGTAATTTGTCTCTCACAACAATCCATAGTAGAAAGGCATTTTTTGGGTATCTTTTGAAAGAACCAAGGTACATATGGAGAGGGAGGATGTCAACCATTATTGATAGCCGACCCAAAAGGATCGACTAACCTGCTTTTTTGCCAACGTGACACAGCTTATTTATTTTGTTTACATATAAATATTTATTATAATCGACATCTGATTACAGTCCAACAAGCGTATCCGGGAAAAAGGAACTCAAGATTTGATGTAAGGTTCACATTCAATGCACACGAAGTTGCTGAGAGTGATAGTTCCCAACAGACCAGACCAAATAAATAAACAAAAAATTTAAAATTATGGCCCTAACTGGTAACTGAAGATTTGAGGAATGTTGAAGATTGTTGCTGAATTCTTTTTACAAAACACCAGTTGAGAAGAATTGAAGAATTCTGGAATGCTAAGAAAAAGAAAAAATCACAGAATGCTTTTGGAAATTATGACAAGTCTCACATTTGATATATCTCAAATATATATCTATTCCAAAATTTATTAAAAATTATACAAAAGGTTCATAAGAAAAATTAATGGAAGAGTGGTTTGGTAATGGTCTTAAACTTTTTTTTTTTGGTTCAAAGAGTCTTCCCTTTTTTCTCACTTTATATATATTAGAATATAAATTTACAAAAATCCACAATTATTATTACTTTTATTTATTTTCATGTATATAATTTCTATGATCAATTGAAAAATTACATTTAAAATTTGATGATCAATATTTTACTATAACTTAAATTATTTATAAAATTAATTAAGCAGATAGTTTGGTATTTCATTAATTATTCCAACAAATATATGTGTAATTATTTTAGATTTTTTTATAAAATATTTTAGTTGTTAAACTGGAATAATATTAATTATGATATAATTAAATGTTTTGTGATTTTCCCCCTTTTTAGGAATGGGAAAATTATCTGGCATCTGATCCGATCAACTCCGAATATTCGGGTTTTTGAAGTTTGTGAAACCGAATCTTGATAATAATATTATGGAAAGTATATTTTGTAATAATAATAATAACTATTGAATATTACAATTACATAATTTAATACAATTATTAAATTTATTATAGTTAACATAAATTACATCAGTTGTATATTTCTAAAACCAAATCACTCATTCATTTATTTATGAGTAAATGTTAGTTGTAATATAATATTATTGTTTTGTAAAGATAAATTATGTTTATATTTTATAAGGTTAAACATATATATTTACAATTTAATACCAATATTTAATGTACATTTTCAAGTTTAAATATATTATAGGATAGATTTTGAAATGAATTTTTTTTTTAAGTTATTCCGCATTCAGCAACATTCAGCAGTTACCATTCATAATACTAACTAATCAGCCAGATTCCGCAAAAAGTTATAATTTAATTCCGCCAGATTCCGCATTCAGCAACATTCCGCAGTTACCATTTAGACCCAAAACCTAGGATAAATTATTTAGCCCCGACATTTTTTTTGTTCGTTAGAGAATTTACATGCGACCTTACTTTAGCTATGTATAATAAAATATACAACAATATATTTTAAAATCTGCCTTTTGTTACCAAAAATATTACGAAAGAAGATAATATTGGTATATATATATTTATACAAAAATTGCTGAATTTTGTTTCGGTTCTTTTATGGAGCGATTTCTTATTTTTATAAAAAAAAAAAACGAAAGAAGATAATATTGGTGTATACAT